GGAAATATCTTCCACCCCAACAGCAACCTTCGTCGCACCGTCCTTGGCACATCACTCCAGATGATGCAACAGTGGACTGGTGTCAACTTCGTCTTCTACTATGGTACCCCCTTCTTCACCCAACTCGGCACGATTTCGGACCCCTTCCTGATCAGCATGATCACCACCATTGTCAACGTCCTTTCCACCCCCATCTCCTTCTATGCCATTGAGAAGGTCGGCCGTCGCCCTCTGCTCCTGTGGGGTGCCCTTGGCATGGTTATTTGCCAGTTCCTGGTTGCCATAATCGGTGTCACTGACGGACAGAACCCCAAGGCTGTCTCTGCTATGATCTCATTCATCTGCATCTACATCTTCTTCTTCGCTACCACCTGGGGTCCCGGCGCCTGGGTTGTTATCGGTGAAATCTTCCCTCTGCCCATTCGTTCCCGTGGTGTTGCTCTCTCCACTGCCTCCAACTGGCTCTGGAACTGCATCATCGCTGTCATCACCCCCTACATGACCGACGCTGACCAGGGCAACCTTGGTCCCAAGGTCTTCTTCATCTGGGGTTCCCTGTGCGCTTGCGCCTTCGTTTACACTTACTTCCTGATCCCCGAGACCAAGGGTCTTACCCTGGAGCAGGTCGACAAGATGATGGAGGAGACCACCCCTCGCACTTCTGCCAAGTGGCAGCCTCACTCTACCTTTGCCGATGAGATGGGTCTCACTGACGAGAAGTCTAGTGCTGTTCCTCAGGTCACCCAGCACGAGGTCTAGATCTCATCATATGTTTCAAACAAGGGGGCTTGTTTGAAAGATGAGACGCGTTTGTCTCATCCTCGATTTTGCTTCCTGTTGGCTGGGCCCATTGTTTAGCGCAGATACCAGGGTGTTCATGCGTTTATGTTTAATATGGCTAATTTTTATTTTGTTTAATGTGGAATCATGAGTTGATGTATCTTTATCTGAATCAAGTGATATATATCTCCAAACCTTCAAGTTGTCTTAGTACTACTACTAGAACATCGGAACTAGCCCTAGGTAATATAACTCCAGGGCTTTCAAACCCGCTTCCTTGGGAGGTTATACCATAACCAAGCTCCAAGCTTGTAGACTACTATCTCGTACTAGTACTACTCTCATCTACCAGGCAATTACCTCCGAGTCCTCCGAACCGGGAGTTCTACCAATTCACCCAACGTTCGGCGCATCTCGTACTACGTCGTAACGGAACATGAAATGGAGTAGTCCCGAGAAGGAAACACATTAGTAGAGAGAATGACCCTCGGAGGAACAATATAGTTGTCTCCAAACTCTCTTGCATAAGGTCTAATTGAAACTAGACATATTTCTGGCTGTCGGAAAGTGATGATATAAGTATTATCAAGGCCCAACCAACCTTGGAAGAAAACAAGGTCCGCAATGAAACTCACTTTCACAAGCGCGAGCCCTGGAGGCTCATACTAGAGCGTATGATACCTAGGTAAATAGACCTACCTAGATAGTCACTTTCTTTTTTCGCTACATCGGTTGGGAGTAAACTATTAAGTAGTATGTAAGATTCTCCCAAGGGCTGTGTGCGAGGAACTGGAAGACCATTTAAATACCGGCTCAGTGATATTAATAGGAGTTCCACCTGGGCAGTCTCAGGTCAAAAGACGTGTGTTCGGATTTTGTGGCCGATGGAGGGAAACCTCCGGGCCTACAATCCCGATGAACATCAGCGCGAATTCCTTTTTCCATGATGATGCATCATGAGGAGCCGTGGAATGAGAACATGGAATTTCGAGAGGAGGGCATCCTTCCAATTTTTCAGTTCGGCATTATTTGAAGTTGGGGCTCTAAGTTAACCACTACCTACTGGTAAGTTAATTACTAAGAGTGGATTTTTTTAGTTACAGGAAACCTGTTTCGACATGTATAAGCTTATCTTAGGTGCCTACTCCTCCATACTGAATGTATGTATTATGGAGTGCGTGCTGGCGATCCACAGTGGCGGCCAGCCGCAGCGATACACCAGAGTAACTATACATAGCATCTATACTCCGTAGCATCGAATTGAGAAAGAAAGCGTCGAAACCTTGCGACCGCTGAGGCGCAGTCATGTAATTGCTTGAAATCGGCAGATCCTCGGGATCACCGGACGCAAGCATCTGCCAAGCCCGACCCGCGGAATTCGTCAACTGCTTGGCCCCAAGTTTTTCCACGATTCTCATGTCGCATTCATAGCTTCATGTTTGACTATTTGGTTCAATTCTCCCGGGAAGCTTTGTATTAGCCAAGTGAATGTAGGCTTGGCGCAATATCAACGGGGTTTTGCGACCGTGGAATGATACATCCGCCCGGAGGGACCCCCGTCGGAGGCAAGCTGCCAAGAACGAGTACGTATGCGAGGTACGTTAGACTAGTATACAGGACCAGGGGGTTCTCAGGGACTTGGACCTTAATTCAAGGGGAAACGATCTACATACGCTAATTGTTGAAACTGTTCGACAGTCCCTGTCCCGATTAATAATCTCCTAGTTTGTTACAATAGCGGTCTTGGCCCTCTCTAGAGGGCTATTCGTACGCTTGAGCCGTGACTTTTCTGGAACGGACTTGATTTAAAGAAATCGCAACATGTACACTTCGCATAAATACCAAGTACATACACCTCCGAGCGGCGTCGCAGTAATAATATGCGTTATGGTTAAATTGAAATCACTGGAACATTATAGGTCCAGTTTATTGGCATATGGATGCAAAGTAAAACGCCTCGTCATCAGCGCAGATCCTTCTATTTCCCTCCACTTAGATCTGACGGTTTTTGAGCTATGGGTCCCCAGCTCCCCGTAGTCAATCCTCTATGTGGAGAATTAGAACTCCGCGACTCGTCTATGAGATCCTTGGCAGCGCCACGCGAGTTTCTGTGACCTATGCGTTGATTCATCAGCTTTCCACCAAGGAGAAAGAAGTCAATCTGAATCATGTACCGAGCACCAATGAGCTGCAGAATGACGAATTTACCTGGACCACGACACCTCGACCTTCAAATGTCTAGATCACCGGGGCAGGGGCCATGCTCCGCTGTGGGACTCGGAAATGCCTTGATATGTCTATCGGTGCATAGTGTGAGAAATGGGTATGCCCTGATTTGCTAGCCCTGGTTTGAGTACCTCTATGCCCTTTGTCAGGCCCAATCCGTGCACCTCGGAGGCACGCAGGTTGGCTGTTATTCAAGTTCCCTTTCCAGAGCCTTCTCAGCGTGGGTCTATCCGTGCGGGCATGGTTTTCTTTTCTATAAAGCCGAGTTGATCTGCTTCTCTAAAATGCATTCACTCATCAGAAAATCCTCAAGTCAATCAAGAGTCCAGAAAATCTCTCTGCAGATCTCCATTCTACCACCAAGCTACTTTATAATTGATATTTAGCTACGATGGTTCAACTCGCATCTGCCCTCGCCGTCGGCGTTCTTGGTCTAGCCAGCATTGTTTCCGCCCATCCCGGTCACGACCACAAGGCTGAAGCTGCTGAGCGTGCCCTATACATGCGCAATGCACCCATCCAGTCCCGCAGCCTGTCTCAGTGTGCCTCCCAGATGAAGGCTCGCGGCCTTGAGAGCAGAAATGTTGCTCGTCGCGCTGCTGCCGTCAAGCACCTTCGTCGCCGTCGCGGACTCAAGTCTGGTACGCCTCATGTTTTGAATTTCGCGCAAAAGTTTGAACTGACCTTTGCCAGACGCAAACTTCCTCAAGGCTCGTGATCTCGACACCGCGCTGGCGACTTCGCACGCTTCAAACCTGACTGGTGTTGATTTCAACACCGATCCCAGTCTGCTATTTACCTCTGAGGGCAGCTGCATTCTTGCTCCCGATGTTACCCAGGGACCTTACTGTTGGTTAAATGACTTGACTTCATCGCATAACAGGAACTAACAAAGTATATAGACGTTACCGGTGAGCTCGTCCGTCAGGATATCACCGAGGACCAGCAAGGTGTCCCTCTGTACATGGATTTCCAGTTGATCGACACCAACACCTGCGAGCCTCTGCCAAATGTCTACACTGATATCTGGTACTGCAATGCCACTGTAAGTGGTTTCATATCATTAGCAGGTCTAAATTCATTGTCTAATCACGGTAATTACAGGGTGTCTACTCTGGCGTCACCGCCAGCGGCAACGGAGATTCTTCCGACACCAGCAACCTCGACGCCACTTTCCTGCGCGGAATCCAGGCTAGTAACGCTGATGGTGTTGTCCAATTTGAGGGAATCTTCCCCGGTCACTACACCGGTCGTGCTACTCACATTCATGGTACGACGGTCCAATTGACCTATTTCTGATCCATGACTAACAATACTCACAGTTTTAACCCACCCCGCCAATGAGACTACTGTTTTGCAGAACGGAACTATCTCTGGCCTTTACTCCACCACCTCTTCCCACGTTGGACAGACTTTCTTCGATCAGGACCTCATCAGCAAGGTCGAGAAGACTTCGCCTTATAGCACCAACACCCAGGATATCACCACCAACGCCGAAGACAGCATCCTCTCAGAGGAGGCCGACACTATCGACCCCTTCATGGAGTACATCCTTCTTGGTGACTCTGTTAGCGACGGTATCTTTGCCTGGATCTCTGTTGGTGTTGACTCTACTGTGGACTCTTCCGTTACTCCTGCTGCCTACTACACCGAGCAGGGTGGCGTTGAGAATGAGAACTCCGGCATGGGCGGCGGCGGCGGCGGCGGCGGTGCTCCCCCCGGCTTCGGCTCTTCCACCTCCAGTGCTTCTGGTAGCCGCAACACTAACTAAGCTAGTCTGATTGATATAGTTCCGGCCCTTTGATATGAAAGCTTGTTGCTGCCGTATCAACCTTGTCTCTATTCAATTTTGAATTTTTGCCTTCTATTCTTCAGCCGTTGGACGCAGGACCCTCAAGGCTTGTTACTCAGTGTTGTCTTGATAGTATACTTTGGTCATTGTGTTTTGGTGTTCATTTACTAGCGACTAGTCTAAAATGCTCCAATGCGTTTTTTCAACTTTGTTCCCAAATCAGAACTGGTTTGATAGTTTCGCCGTTTTTCAATTTCCTAAGGGCGTGTTCGTAATCCGTGGCCTATTGGATATAGATCAGATATGCAATTCTCAAAGGGACGCTTCAGCTTACATCGAAATATTCAACTAGCTTATCAATAGGGAAATTTCCGCTTCGATACCAATCAATCATTTGTGGAATTGCCTGTACATGATCAGTTACAAATTTCATACTCCATGGGAAATCGTAGCATCTTACATTCTCAGGAACACAGTCTCCTTCAATGCAACCCATTATAGACCGGCCGCTCTGCATATATATTAAATGATCAGTAAATAAACATCTCGCGGAAAGGGACTTAACTGACATTGATATGTTGAGTGAGATTCACACTCAGCTCATATTGTAGTGGCGGGACCCCAATCTGAATAAATCTCCCACGCGGAGTTGTTGCTTGGACGCTTTGCTCAATGATAGTAGGGACTCCAGTTGTTTCTATTGCAACAGAGGCTCCCAAGGGAATCAATCGCCGTACGGCCTCATAGAGAGTCGTGAATGCCGAATCACTGGTATCAATAATGTGGGTTGCACCTAGCGACTTTGCTATTTCAAGTCTAGACTTGACGCGATCGACTGCGATTATTGACTTGCATTTCAAGATTTTTGCTGTCTATGTTTCGCTTGTTAGCCTTATTTGTCTAGATGGCATAGATTTTAGTCACAGGAACATCTTACCATGATGGCTCCCATCCCAACAGCTCCAAGACCGGTGATCAAAACCACATCATTTGGGGTGGCCAGACCAATGTTCTGAATTGCTCCCATGCCAGTTTGAAATCCACAACCAAGCGGGGCCAAGAGTTTCAACTCATCCAGATTTTTAATGAGATTCTTGACGTTGACAACAGATGCTTCACTGGCAACGGTAGTTTGCGCAAAGCTAGACTGCCCAAAAAATTGGGACCAGACGGGCTGACTATCGGAGGCTGTTTCCATGGTGTCCTGGCGACCAATGTAATTCCCCTTGGCAAACTGATCGCAATATGCGGGGTGCTCCGTTCGACATTGCTCGCATGTTCTACAGGAATAAAAAGATAGCAAGATTGGGTCTCCTGGCTGCACGGTCTTGACATTCTTGCCAATCTCTCGGACTATGCCTGCACCTGAGTTTCAACGATTGTCAGCAACACAGGGTATAGAGGACTGGCGAGCTCAACTCCGACAGGATTTCGAATACCCTCATGCCCTACTATCTTGGGATACGCAATACCAATTGCACCGGCAGGGACGGATGATAGAACAATGTCCGTGTGACAAATTCCGGTGGCAATCATGTCTACAAGCATTTCATCGTCTCCAAATCCACCCAGCGTCACTTCCTCCATTGCCCAGTTCGGCTTCAAGGGTTCAGTGGGCTCGCGAGCCACGATGGCTTGAGTCTTTGCGATCATCTTGTGTCATAGAAAAGGGGTGTGACCTTTTTCAAGGACACTGTTCATATTTGTGGCTTTTTTGTCTCTCATAAACCCCTCACGGAAACGAACCCCGCTTGGTATCAGGCTGGGCGATACTTACCGAGCGACACTAATTCAATATGGCAATTATTGTGGCCTAAGGCCTCCGATTTTCCTTTCCATCCACGCCGGAGACTACGAGTCTATTCTTTCGAACGGATCAAACGAGATCCCACCAAAAAGACAGGAATGGATTTATCCCCCCCTTCCTGGTTTTCTCTTTTTTTCCCGGATGAAGTGAAAGCGCGAGCAAAAATCCAATGTTGGGTTTCCAAGACCCTTCAACTAAATAACTCCTTGCATGGAAACGACCACCTTCTTGGTTTATAAATCGAGTGCTTTTAGGGCTGTTATCCTCAGAAAGTAAGATCGAAATATCATTGTTAAAAGGAGATTAGGGATCTGTTGTAATGAGACCGGCAATCACCCCCCCCCCCACAAAACTCAGCCCTGGGGCGCAGACGAACGCCAAGAGAACGCGACTGTCGATCTTCAAAAGCAAACAAAATAAACAAGATAATCGGAGGGATATTCGGCCGTACATCACGTGTACTCGTGATTGTTGCCCTTCTTGTGAGCCCAGCCCTGTGGGTCTTGGAAGCAGCCAATCGCATTACTCGTTTCAATAACTTCAGTTGGCAAGTTCAATGCAGCGCAACAACTATAGTCTCGATGTTTATAAAGGGTAAGTGAGCACTCGCTCATTGATCAAAATCCACCAGCTTCATTCAGTCAAGAATTTTGACAATAATCTCTCGCCCTCCTCATTCCACCTATAATTTGATTTTTATTGCTTTGTTTTTACTCGCGATATGGCTGGCGATGGGGTTTTTACGTATCGCGATGGTATAGCTGCTGCACAAATCGCCGCATTCTCACTACCTTTGTTGTTCGCCTTCTACTTCCGATGGAGGCGCCAAATAGGCTGGTTCTGCATCGGTGTTTTCACACTCCTAAGGATTATCGGGGCTGGCTGCAAGCTCGCTACCATAAACCACGATACCCAAGGACTATGGGCCGCGATATTTGTTGTGAATCTCTGGGAATGATATTAATTATATTTCTCCTGCTGGAACTGCTGGAAAGAATGTAAACGGCCCAGCCTTTGCATTAAATTTGGACCTGGCGCTAACCAATCGCTCGATAGAAACAAAATAATTCACCTTGCCGGAAAATGGATATTCTGGGCTCCATCCATCATAACATGGATCGATATCGGCATATCAATCGGTGGCTGGGTGTCCGTCATGCATGTCGAGCACGCCCTTCTCCCCACCGCATGGAGCCAAGCTAGTCTGGGCTTGTTGGTAGTTATCTACGTTTACCTTGTCGGCATATTCGTTCTCTTTTGGATCCACCGACACGAATGCTTCGGGGAGGAAAGATGGGCACTCGATGGTGTTACCGTCTGCATTCCTCTGTTTGCCATTCGCCTCACATACTCGCTTGTCTTCGTCATCTCGAGCAACATGAAGTTCAATGCCATCAAGGGCAACCCGACAGCCTATCTGATCATGACCATGCTACCCGAAGTGGCTATAATTGGGATGTGCACATACATAATTGCGGCCAAAATATCACCACTCCAGAAAGAGACACACAGATCGCCACGGAAGACAGACGACGAGGAAAGTCAAGAGGGTCTTACTAGCAGGTCCTAGAATGGGTCCTCCATTTGATTTACAAAGTGCATTGCGATACCTCAGCGTTTAGATGATAATTTATGTGTTGAGTAACTAGAAATAATGTTGACGAATCTCAAAAAGACAAGATTATGTGCAAAGAACTACCTATTTTTTGGGCAACTCAAGGTGGTGAGATTCCCATGAATCGTGGAAGTAAGGATGGCCCATTTGTAATGGCTGTCCACCCGATAATCCCGAGCGCAGCAACAGCCACAGCACCAAATCTAAACATTGCGGTTCGAACTTTTGGCTGTAGATATTCATTTAGCAGGAATGCGAACTTCTCGGGTTGGTTTCGATCTGGGTAGTCTTCCTTTGGAACTGGTACACCCAGGAATGGGCAGATGGCTTCCCAGTCAATCCCATCTTCGAGCTGAATAAGACACAGGCGATCTTCCGGAATTATCGACTTGGCTCTTTTTATACTATAAATCGAAGCTTTGTTAGTGGTTAAAATGAGGCAGCAAGGAAGTCAAGGTGAGACTCACTATGAGGAATAATATTCACATAGCATGTCCTCATTCTCTGGGTCGCCTGGTTTTGTCGCACCCGCTAGAGCCCGATACACCAGTGCATTCATATCCATGAAGTGGTAGATATCGGAATGAAAATACTTCAAAATGTTGCATGGGAAGCTGCTTCCCATAGCGACTACTTTCGCGCTTGTGTTGTTGAATGATTGGGCCCACTTCCTAGGATCCCTCTCCGTAAGGATAAATTTAACATCGGGATCTTCTGCGTAAGCCTCAATCACGTCCATTCCGAAGTAGCTCGGAATCTCAATAATACACTGGCTTTGATCAGCTTCCAAAGCAAGTGGTGAAGTTTCCTCAGTGATACTCGATTGGGAGAGAAATTACTACTCACATCATAGTCGGCTAGCCACTTCTCGCAGTCGGGTTTCTTCAGTCGTCTTACGCCGGATAGCCAATTGAATTGAGCGATCACAGCTTGCTTGAAGATTTTCATATGGGTTGCGCCATGGACAAAGAGGCATTCGTAAAGGTGATAGGGGCGATAGCCCAAGATTTTCATTGCGCCATAGAGTCCCAGTGTTCCCGAACTATATCCAAATTATGCTTAACTCTAGGGTCGAATAACCTTTTGGCCATGTTATGGAGTGGCATTAAAAGCAAAGTCTTACCGACTTGGACTTGCAACGATCACTTTCTTCCTTCGAATTTCACTAGGAGGTGGTAATTTATCGACTTGCCTCGACATGATGGGTGACTTGGTAAATTGAAAGCTGGCATGGACGGGAGGCCGCTCTTATAAATGCCACGAACTCGCTTGCACAGACGCTCCAGGCTGCTCAACCCCACCTTGGCAGCTAGCGTATCGCACTTACGAAACTAGGACTGGGTCACTCGGGCTTTTGTTTGTTACGTACTACGTCACACTAGCAGCTGCTGCCCACTGGCGGCCTTACGGCCTTAAACTTTCAAAAATTATTTAGTTGATATAGTATTCTTAGATAGGCGGGAGTGGGCAATGACCCGCTTATCATCATGATAATTATCACCTCGTAATCCTACGCCTCTAGTATCCTGGATCTTCAATTTTGCAATAGCTTCACAACCAATAGGCCTGGACAGCCTTGCTGCTATGGGACAGCGGGAAGCTAAAACTGTCGATCACGCCCAGAGTAGGCATGAGAGCAGATTTAGAGCCTGTATATGTACCTTTAGGTAGTATACAATCGAATTGAACCTTTGAAGTTCTGATTTCATACTAATCAACAATACTAGGAGTTGTTTTCCAACATTAGTTCTTTCCTTTTCAAGTTTTCCGGATACAAAATTATCATTCTTTTCGCCACGACATCAAAACACCGAGATATCCATAATTTAGACTAACAGTTACGCTACTGATCCATGAGAGCTTTAGCTTATGAATATTTAGTTACTAGCTTGGAGAGGCTTCACTATCGGCTTTCTCTGTGGAAGTTACATGTACATTTCAGCGAATTTAGAGGAGCAAAGTACCCACGGTTGGCCTTGAAAGAATGCGCTAGGACTACTAGAAGATACCCAAAAGGGTCATTTCATGCGCCAAACAAAAGGTAAAATCTGAAGGAGGATTCCAGGGCTCCTGGGCTGGTTTGGCTTTTAATTGCATTCGGGATTCGAGGTCGAACGATCGGTGACTGATAGCATGGAAGATGAATTACGATCATTTCAGTTCTGGAGCTTTATACCTAGGAACGCCCGGATTCCTGAGACTAAATTCAATCGAGTCGGCTAGGAAAAGTAAAACTAGGCCCGTAGTATGCAGATTCTTGGATTGCAACATCGTTTTGCAGACTCTGCACTGCTTGATGAGTTCCTCACAAGACCCGTGCTCGGCACCTAGGTCCATTACGGGAAGCAATCGGCTATTTTGAGACTAATGTATGGCGTCGCGTACAAATTGATCAAGGCAAAAAAAAAGCCATTTACAGGGCGAGAGAATCCGAAAGCTATCCAACTGAGACCGTGAATCCACTAGGACAGCCTGTGGTAATAGAAAATAGTTCTGCATGTCAATTCTGCGTGACCACGAATTTTGAAGGCCAAGGGCCAGGTGCAAGAGGCACAAGGGGAGAGCAGCAAGGCACAATGCCAGGCATTCAAGGATATCAGATTGGGGGCTGGATCACTCAGACCTACCATATGTTTCAGCTACTTAATGACGATGCGTTCCTTGGCAATTGAGCGAATCTCTCTTATTTCGACAATCCCAACTTGGCTGCGCCATCGACAGCTCTTGGTGCCGAGCTGATTTTTGACAAGAAGTGGCTCTGTGACTTTGAAAACCGATATAGCTGAAGAGGCTTGGACGATGTCATCAGATCAAGAATAACTTCAACGACATAGCCACGAGTAAGCACTTCGCTAACGGATTACGGTGGCTTGTCGCAAATTATGAGGCTTGAAATGATAATTTCTAAAGCGTTCAATTTTGCATGAGTCAGTCTGAAAATTGGACACGCTAGGAAGCAGGGTCACATTCGTATCTGCACTGAAATCGGAATTTCCGAAATGAAACCCTGCCAGATCAATGATATCTGGGTGAGGCTTTGGCCCCAGGAGCGTTTCTGAGGCTGACAGGGGGTCAGCCTCCACATTCGGTATCTTCCCCGTTGAAAGTCATGTACTGCTGAGTGCCCCATGCTTCAGTTTATAATTCATTTCATTTCATCACAGACGACTACTTCTCGGCCACAGTTGATATGGTACATTTGATTCACAATTTCTCTGCAAGACATGCATGAACGTGTTTCGGATTCATCGAAATCGGGTCTAAATTATGTTCGCCATTGCCTTGGGGGCACAGACCTTGAAGAACCAAGCCCCCTCGCCCGTCTTGGCAGTCAGCCCATCCAATCCAATCCTGGTCGGCCCTATGCAGAGCGTTGCTGACTGCAGGGCTCAAAGAAATTCATTGTGATCAGACACAGCTTCAGAGTTTAGCCGTTATTGAGCAAGGTCCTTTGATGGGCCCTTGTTTCACAATTCGCGATTCCTTTGCCTGGCAAAGAGGTCGTATCGCATCATGAAATGGGAATCTCGATTTATTAGCCAGGATCTGTCAAGAAAAGCAAAATTGAAGCTGGACTTTGAAAAATCAGGTAGTGGATGTTATGTTGACCCGTGTATCACGCCCATATGCGTCCAAGTGGATCCCGAGGGACGCCTGAGAGCAACCGGAGCAAGCATAGGCTGATTATCTCCCACAAAAATAGGAGGAATTCGCTTTCCATGGACCGAACCAAAAGAGCTGACCTAGAACAAAGCTTACGGCCTTAAGCCGCTAATAATCTGCCAAGTCCCAATGTGCTGGCCCTACTTGGTCGGGTTCCTTTCAAGTTCGTATTACCCCTTCTCTTCCCCCGCTATGCATTCATTCTACCAACTGCCTCTCACCACACAGCATCACTGTCGTTAACGTCAAGTAAAAATGCTGTTTACGCGACAGGTCTTTTGGTCTGCCCTAACGTCAATCGCCGTGGTGGGTCTTGGAAGTGCACAATCTACACCTGGTACCGGGACTGTAACTACGGGCTCTACGACCTCTTCGACATCGACTGGAAAGGCAACGCATACGGTTTCAGTAGGACCAAAAACCAGTCCACATGCCTACGTTCCCCATAGCATCACCGCAAACGTTGGCGATGTAGTTGTTTTCGAGTTCTACCCCACGAATCACTCGGTCGTCAAAGCGGATTACGATGCACCTTGTGTGCCTGCTGCTGATGGACTTTTCTTCTCGGGGATCTTCGATGATTTTGAGACCAATAATGGAAATTTGGTTGGTGAAGTAAGTACAGTGGACTCTAGTGACGACATGATATGTGGTAGCAGGGGGGCTTATGATTTTCTCGATAGCCACCTAAATGGTCGGTAACCGTTAATGATACTGAGGTAAGATTTTCACCACTAGCAAATGGCTAATAGTTCAAGCTCTGACCTTATTCTTCTACGCCAGCCGACTTTCTTTTACTGCACTGCAATCGGATCCTGCAAGTCGAATGGTATGGTCGGGGTTATTAATCCGGTATGGGCCCTTCACCATTCGTACCTTGACAGTCAATAGACCTAATATCAGATCCCTTCTCTAGAACTCCACCCAAACATTCAAAACACAATATGACAAAGCATTCGATTCCCCATACATGCTACTTCCGGGTGAATCACCCCCAGCGGAGGGAAGTGAAGGAACCGGTTCGAGTTCGAGTTCGAGTTCAAACTCGAGTAGTGGTTCCTCCGGTCTCAGCAAAGGTGCCATCGCCGGAATTGCTGTTGCTGGTGTTGTCTTTTTGGGAATTTTGGTTGCTCTTTTCTTTCTACTCGGTCGTAATCGAGTCTATAAGCAGTGGATGTCTTCTCAGGATGGGAGAACTGAACGGACTGCTCGGTGGGCACTTTTCAATCATCCGAATGGTGGACCTGAGGTGGCTAGCAATGCAGGCAAGCCACCCATGACCGATACAACTTCCGTTTCGAGCCCCGACCCAGGTCGCTACAATACCATGTCACCGCCGCTTGGCGACGGTGTTTCTAGTTATGGCCCTTCATCGCCACGTCAACAGTCCGGGCATTGGAGTTGGGACCCTTCCTTCAATACCCGAAATGCCCGTGGCCCATCCGAGCTGGAGGCAACCAACATCATCCACCAACTTCCTGAGTCTAGCCACGAGCGTTGAGGAAGCGATGAAGAATGATTTTTTGGGACAGGGATGAGGACTTCGGTGATTGTTAATAGCACCCATGAGCTTATACATATTCATGCTCAACACCTATTACCTAGGTACTACCAGGTAGTTTCAAGGTGTCGCTTTTGTTTCTCTTTTCTCTTTCATGACCGGCGCAGCTTAGTATTCTATTTGTGATATATGATACCTTTGATTTAATAGTTAGTTCTATAAAATATTTGTCAAATAATAAATAGCCACTTCGGCATTCAGAGCACTACTTGATGTATCACATGACTGCTGATCCCCGGACCGCGTGCCGCTCTCTCCACTTCGCAGAAGGTTACCACTTCTGCAGGATTGCATTGTACATATTTTCTATCAATCTGACCTATTGACGGAGACTCTTGGGCTCCCAAATTGGGCCCAGAATGCCCCGAGGCCCCGAAACAAGGTCAAGATGGGGATGTTTGAACTGGTAGTGCATGCCAACTCTTGATCGGAGAATCCCGAATCAGCTAACTCCGTTGAACATGCAGCCGGAAACGACGGAAAAAGTGCGACGAGGCTCGACCTGGCTGTCAAATATGTGTCGAACGAGAAGTTGAATGCGTTTATCCTGACTGGTCTATGGTCAAATATGCACGTACTCGAGACCGCGTGCGAGAATATCAGAATACCAACAACAACCCCACATCTAGCCGGCCGGTGCTGCTCCCTGCAAATCCCAGCAGCACCGAGACGAAGTTTGTTTATCATTTCTCGACCATCGTGGCTAGCTTGATCTCGTTTTCCTTTCCTCAGCCCAACATTTCGAATCCTTTTCTTCTTCATGTTCTTCCACGAACTTCCAGCTCAACACAGGTCCAACGGGCCGTAGAAGCCGTTGCTGCGGCGCATCTGTACCACTTAGGAGCAGAGACGCGCGACCGTGCAACTCGACTTCATTCACAAGCTTTGAGCCTCTTAGCCACTGAGCTTTCATCGCCACAACTAGATGGTACTGCCCGAATTAACCTGCTAGCCAGCAGCTTGTTATTGATTTACTACGAGGTATGCCCCAAATTGTCGACATTATAGCCAATTCTAAAAACCGCTTTCAGATTGTTCTCGGCAACTCAGCAGATAATGCATGGTGCCATCTCCAGGGAGCTAAAGTCTTGTTAGAATACCAAGATGAAACTGTGGACAATTCATGTCTCCTGTTTTTTCGGAAGATTTTCCAGTATTTCAATGTCATGCTGGCCCTATCTCTTGGCAGACAACCTCTCGTGATTTCCGGTGTGCATGGCCCCGAGTTCATAGACAGGATAGATACCGTCTTCGGCTGTGCCGGTAGACTATGGCCTCTGATGCACCGTCTAGCGGATCTGATCGGCCGAATCCGACTTGGTGAGGATGGCACAGAGGGAGCCGAGTCTCTCATAGGCAGCTTGCAGGTCTGGTCAATAGAGTCATCCCACTCGTCCGACGCGTATATGGAAGCCATGGTGCAAATCGCGAGGGCGTACAAATTTTGCGGTATTTTGATGCTACGCATGATAATAGCATCGGCTGACCCATACCCGGACCATGCCCTTCTGAACTCCCGCGACCAAGAGCTATACCGTTCCGCATTTGATAGTGTCCTTCGAGTCTGCGTTCTGTCAACGCCCATGGCCACTCTCACTTGGCCATTGTATATTGTGGGTCGCCTCGCCGGATCAACAAGCGACAGAACAGTCATCATGCATATATTTTCACAGTTCCTCGAGAAACACCACATGAAGGTTGTCGATGGAGCGAGAAAGGCCGTGTGGTCCTGTTGGGGAGAGGGTATGTCGGAGAGGCGGAACTGGAAGAGTTTACCACCCGTGCTGTTGGGATGAAGTATACTTGAATCCTCCAAGTCCAGTTGGCTACTTTTGTAGTCTAAATATGCATAGCGTATCCTTTTATTTCAAAAATGTTTTATTTTTTTCTTCTTGTTTAGGTATCAATCCAAATTGGAGAGACCCGTAATTGAACTTCAGACCTATACCGTACAGATCAATGATTCCAGAAATCTCTCCACGCGCTCGGCGTCCTCCAAGGTCGCCACGATACCTACATATCCATCTGGACGAACAACTGCCAGCGCTCCTTTGGAAACATCGACACCATAAGTCTGATACACATCGTCCATTTCATGACCGCTGTAAAATGACATCTCTGAGTATTGCTTGACTTCATTGGGAATATCATTCCACATGAAATCTCTCTCCAAACGTGGATGGATAACAACCTGTTCAACCACCGACTGGGGGAATCGTGGAATGACACGTCCAAGTGTGCTGAGGGTTGTCGCGGAAACACCCTGCGGGTCCAGAATATCGGTAGAAGTTAGGCATAAAATGCGGAACCTGCCAGTGGAGGCAAAATCTGGTAGCGTGTTAGCATTGGTCATATGGGATTGAGCTCGGTCCCGATCTTACCATCTTGTAGGTCCCGGCGGTATCCATCTGCATGCCGCACAAGGCGTACATTCAATAATCTCCGACCCGGGCGAAGGATACCGGCTAAATAGTCTTCTCCGGAAATAGGATTCCTCGCACTGTCATCACAGTTCACGGCTATGTTCTCTGGGTACTCGATTCCGCAACCGCTGGTAAAGCCGTTTCCTCGGCTAAAGACCTGCATAAACTCCTCGTGTGTCAATCCTCCAACCCCGTCTCCGGAGGCCCCAATCTTGCCGGAGAACATCGAGGAGAAGTCACGATCAAATGCAATAAGCTCTTCGGCAATGGTGTGTCGCTCTTTATGGTATGTTTCGAGGATGGGGTCCGGCCCAGCAGTTCCTGCACTTGGGCTGAGTCCATGTATTGAGTATGCTAGTTTCCAAGCCAAATTGTACGAGTCCATCATTGAAACATTCATTCCTTGGCCGGCCTAAATCACAGTTAGTGGAAACTGGAAGATTGCATAAATTGAGAGAAGTTTCAGAGTCGAGTACACACCTTGGGACTGTGAGTATGGCAGGCTAGAAAATTCATGTTAGGAAGACAGCTCTAAGGTTCATTCGGTTACTCTGAGGGGTGAAGACGTACCATCACCTGCGATGAACACACGATTCACTCCCTTGGAGTCCTTCACCGAAAAGTTGTCCGTTACACGCTGGCCAATCTGGTATGCCGCCCACCAATCGACCGCTCCATCTTTCTTCGGTCGGATATAATATGGCTTGAACGCAGCAGCCGCATTATCGAAAATCGTTTTTTCGGTAACCTGGCTCCGACGAGATCGAGCGTCTGCTGGTTTGTCGGTCAAAATCGAAGCTTCGGTATCATTGTCTGGGTTGATATCTCCTGGCACTTGGACATAGAGTCGCGTAAGATAGTCTCCCGTCGCAATCCTCTCCCGAGGAATTACCATCACGGAACCTGCGGGCGAGTGGATAGCACACCGACGTCTGATATCGGGGAAATCTGTATCCACGATCAAATCGACAACGCCCCAGATGTGATCCAGCGATTCGCCCTCCAGCTTCAGACCCATGCTGCGCCGGACCACGGAACGAGCACCATCGGCTCCGACCAGATACTTTGTCCGCACCGTGCGTTTCCGACCTTCCGATTCGATCTCGGCGATAACAGGGAATTCAGGGTCCCCTGCCTCATCGATCTTCACATCGATGAGCTTTGTATTCCGCTGGACGCCTCGCTTCGAGTATCGGTGAAGATCTGTTTCCAGGATCCGTTCAATCCGGCCTTGATGAATGGTGACTTCGTGTGGGAATCGCGCGGGGACAGCAACATCCTGAATGATGGACGTTCGCTCAATGATTTTCTCCTTGTCGTTGGAAGGGTTCCAAAACGCGACCTGCGTCAGATGGTTAGCGATTCCCGCGTTGACAGGCAGTTGACAGCCAACATACCTGCCACATCTGACAACCCTCTGTGAGGATCTCATCTGCCAGACCGAGCGATTTCAACGTCTCCAAAGTCCGAGGCTGGAGTCCATCAGCCTGTCCCGACTTCAAGGTCGTCGGCTTTGCATCCACGCAAAGTAGGGACTCGTCGCTCAACCCGTAGCGCGCCAGAAGTAAGTTGAGCATAAGGCCAGCTGGCCCAGCGCCAACAACCACAACCTCGTATTTCTCTACATCACTGCCAGCAGTAGGTTCTGGTTTCGGAGATCGGCGTGGGAGTGGGGGAGCGAAGGATGGGAGAACGCGCAGTTCGCGCGACGCGGCGGTGTATTCGGTGAAGACTGGCATTGAGACAAGCTGGCGTGGCTTGCAGGAGCTACAGGGGTGAAGAACCTCATTATGCACGGCTACGGAGATAATTTATATTAAATGGCTGGCGAGGATATTGGAACGAGGGGGAATGAGGGGAAAAGTGGAGGAATGTCTTTTTTTGCAAGACTGTGTTGGTTCTAGTGGATCGAGGCATGCGATGGGCCACTCAGAGGAGCGAAAGGTGCCTCTGAAGTGGATTGGTGAGATTCTGGTAATCAACAGTCAGGATTGATCCGGGACATTTAAGCTCGGATTTAGACTTGAACAGCTATAGAGTCACGATTTCGGAAATATGAAATATCGAAACCCTTAGTGCCCCTTGTTTTCAAATCGGCCTCCTCCAATTACTATACAATAATATTAGCTAAAACAAATTCACGCGACATACGTTACGGGCCGTTCATGGCAAGACACGTATTAGTTATTAGTTAGTTGTGGAGCCATTCGAGATTAAATGATGTTTAAAAAGTTCCGAGTCCTGTCTTCTTATGGTGTAGCGGACGGAATATACTTGTTGTAGTAGGGGAAAACAATGCATTCAATGCTATGGAAGAGAGAGGTAGAAGGGGGTGAAGAAAATAAGCTATGGAGAGAGGCTGAATTGCTAACTAGTAATTAAATATTAACTAACCAGTCTAGTTGATACCAAAAGCTCTTACTAGCATGATATCTAGTGGTTGGGGTTGATTGACGAAACGTGCTATCTCAGTCAATAAATCACGCTAATAAGTGAGTGTGCTGGCTTTCTGGTCGCACTTGGGGCGAAAATCCCATCGAGGCTCAGCGCTCGCACTGATGGACTATTTTAGAAACACTCCAGCCGCATTTACGGCCGCAGGCGCTCGCACTGGCTTGGGGGCCTAATCGGCACGGCAATAAGGCTGCGCCCCCATCTCGAATGACACAATCAATTTGGAATGGCTGCTACCTAGGTATAATTACCTTTCAGCATCCTAAACTTCGAAAAAGGAATTTTCATCAAAATTGCTACCATCTCTAGGCACCATTGTTATTCGCCAACAACCATTATTTGGAACGTCTTTGCCTTGGTGAGCGAGCATTGAACCGATACTGGTTATATCTGTGACATTCCCATAGTCACCGACTTGAACAAATTCGAGTCGAACCTGGAAGAGTTCAAGTTTCACCGCAAAAAATCAAAATGAGTGGTTTCACAGAAGACCTTGAGGCTGGGCCGACGCATAGTGCCAGGGGTTACGGTACGTGGTGCTCTACTCACGGCTCTAACAGTGAGAGCTCCAAGCTCGATCGGAACTAACGTTTGTATCTGCAGAGCTTCCATCCCTCCAACAGAAAGATGGGTTTCAAAATATACTTCAGACGCGCCGTTTGATCAATGACGAGCTGAACAAAATCAGCGAAACCCAACAAACCGTACTTCGACCCGCCCAGCAGGCAGTGTTAGATGCGACAACCCCCACGGAAGATCACCAGGCTAATTCACGAATGACCTCCATCGAGGAGGAAATATCAGAATCCTTCGGGCGCATCCGCGGGCTGATTGCTGATCTCAAAGCTACGTCTGACCGGGCCGACCCTCGCGTCGAGGAGCAGATTAGGATTATCAGTAATACCATGGAACAACCGTTGCAAGATTATCGCCTGGAACAGACGCAGTTCTCGCGGAAGCTTCGAGAGCAAGTGCGACGTCGATACCAAATTTCGCACCCCGAAGCGACAGAAACAGAGGTATCCGAAGGAGTTGAGAATGTCATCCAGGGTGGGGAGCAGCTCTTTGCAGTATGTGATATCTCATCGCCAACCTGTGTTTATAAACAACTTAGTCTAACTCAGACAAAGGTCCAGGGCACACGAACTCAAAAGGCCAATGATGCGAGAAATGCAGTTGAACAGCGATCGGCGACCATTCGCAGAATCGAACGAGATTTAATGACGGTCGCGACACTGTTCCAAGAGATTGCTGAGCTTGTTGATGAGCATGAGTTTACAGTCGAAAAGATTCAAGATCATACCGCAGCTGCCCATGATGATCTGCGTAGTGGAAATGAGAAGCTTTCTTTTGCTGTGACAAGCGCACGCAATGCCAGGAAGTACAAGTGGTATATTTTGCTAGTAATTGGTGAGTTTAGTTCGGAAGGCAGCTCTAACCTGGAGGGTAACTACTTTCACCGGTTCAATGCTAATAAAAACATAGTCTTAATTATCGCAATTATTGTTGGTGCCTCTGTGGGATGGTGCAAGGCTACGGATCACTGTTAAATTGACGTTCACGGGCGCTTTCTCCAGCAACCCTGACTGGACCTACATGGCCAACACCTGGCCAGTAGTGAGTAATATAATTTGATGAAATCAATTAAAAACAGTATACATTGAGCTTGAGACTCGGAGTTATATTATCTCTATAGGTTTCTGGCTTGTGTAGTACGGTGGTCCAGCTGACCCCGGGCCGTCATTTGAGAATTGCAGACGTGACGACAAAATGGCACTAGGTATAATTCCGCTCATCTGCGGAATTTGGCAATCTCCAAAACGAGGCACCTGCAGTTAGAGGTCCGAGTCAACACGATGGAAAAAAGTGGCGCCAAATACTAGTGCAGCTTTGTGCCGGACAGACCCGACCTATCCCCTGAGCTCGAGGTCCTTTCAAATTTCAAAGTTACTAGTACACACCAAGGAATCGACTAGTTAGTTAGCGAGTAGGGAGCAGCCAAAAGTATACCCCGCGATGGGGTGAAGTGGGGCGGTGACAAGCAGGGGGATTCCCGGTCATCCACTCATAACGGCCATCACTAAATTACGGACCGCTTGCCGGGGTATTTATGATGATCATGCATACTATAGATCCGATATTAGGGAACTCTCCATATATCCGAGGGCTGTGGGTCTCACTTGGGGGTTTTCCTGGTGGTCAAAACGTTGAAAGTATGCACTAGCCGTAGATTGAGATTCATTTTACGTATGATCTTTCCCAATTGAGGAAAGGATGGCTGCGTCAGGGTGTTGCGGAGAAATGAAAGTAGAAAGGTTGAATTTCCACTTAGGGAGAACCCTGGCCAGTTCAAGTTATTTTTAACGCGAAGTTTTTCCGGTGCCAGCTTGTACAACTCTTTAGAAAGACCACAAGGACGGTCTTTGGTTTGGTTATTCTCCGGTTTCTCGAGTATTTTGCCATCCACATCTCACTATGAAACGACTTTCTCGGGTTTTTAGCAGTAGCCCAAAGACTGTGCCTACTCAATCTCGGCCAGCAGCAATTGTACCGGAAAATCCAAAGCTGACTATCGAAGGTCGGTCCATCGATGAAGGCCGACCCCTACGAATCGTGGTTATCGGAGCCGGTATTTCTGGAATACTCAGTTGTATTCGCTTCAGGCAGAGAATTCCAAACATTGAGATCTGCGTATATGAAAAGAATCCGGATATAGGAGGAACTTGGTTTGAAAATCGATATCCCGGCTGCGCATGTGGTATGGAAATTATTCTCCTTACAAACGAATAACGCCAAAGATAAGTTTTTATTTCTAACTTACCTCTACAATCAGATATTCCCGCACATACATATCAAGCAACCTTTGAGCCGAACAAAGAATGGTCTACGTTCTATGCTAGGGCCCCAGAAATCCACAAGTATTGGAAACATGTCGCGGAGAAATATGGTTGCATGAAGTATATCAAGCTGAAGCAACAAGTTAACTCGGCAACCTGGGACGAGAGAAGCTCAAAATGGAAGCTCGAGGTAAGTGGCGCGTGAGCATTAATTCAATGGCGATTGACATGAGTTTTAGATCCAAGATTTGGACAGCGGCTCTTCATATACAGACGAAGGAAACATTGTGATCCAGGGAACCGGTTCTTTGAACAACTGGAAATGGCCAGAAATCCCGGGACTTGATGAATTTAAGGGAAAGTTATTGCATAGTGCTAGCTGGGATGAGGGATACGATTATTCGGTAAGCATGTCATGCAGTTTTCTTGAGATCCGCCCGACTGATATCGGGATAGAATCAACGTGTTGCCGTTATTGGCAACGGGTCCAGTGGGATTCAGATCGTTCCTGGAATTCTACCCAAGGTTACACACATTGATCACTACATGCGCAGCCGCACCTGGGTGTCGCCCACATTTGCAAGGGAATACATAGAAAAACATGGCAACGGAAATGATAACTGTGAGTTTTGTACACTGCTAAACCGATGGATGAGAATCAAAGCTAACAAATGGTTGAAAGTCACATTTTCCCCCGAAGATATTGAGGAATTCAAGAACAACCATGAAGCATACCAGAAGTTCCGCAAGGGTATGGTGAGCTCAATGCACGTGAAAGGCATCAGCTAACTAATGGTTGGTAGGTGTGGAATTGGAGCTCCAATCGATTCACGGAGCTACTCTCAACGGGCACCCAATGCAACTTGGAGCCCACGAGGCCTTTGTCGAGAACATGAAACGGCGACTGGCAAACAAGCCAGAGCTAATCGACGATCTCATCCCCGCATTCCCGCCAGCATGCCGGCGTCTTACGCCGGGGCCGGGCTACCTTGAAGCTCTCACAGACGAAAAAGTCGACATCATCAAGTCGGACATTGCCAAAATCGATGAGAAGGGCATCATCACTGCAGACGGACAGCACAGAGCTGTTGACGCGATCGTCTGCGCGACGGGTTTCGACACTACCTGTACGCCCCGCTTCACAATCCGAGGTCGGGACGGAGTCCTTCTTTCAGAACGCTGGAAAGAGACCCCTGAGACTTACATCGCGGTCGCGACAGATGGATTCCCGAACTACTTCATCTCTCTAGGCCCAAACGCTGCGCTAGGCGAGGGTAACCTGCTACTTCTCATTGAGAAGGAGGTAGACTATTTCACTATGTGCGTAGAGAAGATGCAACGGGATAATATTAGAGCTATGGCTCCGCGCAAAGAAGCAGTACGCCAGTTTCGACGGTACTGTGATGAATATTTCAAGGACACGGTATTTGGTGGCAAGTGTCGCAGTTGGTACAAGGGGGGGCACGGAAGAGGGTCGCATTGTTGCTCTATGGCCTGGTATGTACAGTTTTTGCCCTTTTTTTTTTTCGAATTCGCCGGAATTCATTCCTCTATTTAAAACAGCTACTAACTGACTGTTCAGGCTCATCACTACATGCTATGAAAGTGTTTGCACAGCCTCGATGGGAAGATTATGAGTATGAATACGTCAACGATAACCCATTTGGTTGGATTGGCGATGGTTGGACGGAAAATGAGAAGAACGACAAGATCCATGTGAATTACCTCGATGATGATCAGGTCGATTTTCCTGCGGCAAAGTAGAACAACTTGAAGACGTGAGTCTCAAATTTGAGACATTACCAACCGCAAGAAGCTGAGTGGATACGAGGATACTAGTACCGGTCAGTTAGTTAGGGTTAACTAGATGAAACGTCGGATTTGGGCATTTTTGTACTCCTAAGAACGCACAGGTTGACAAGAGAATATAGAGCTAGTCTATTCTGAATAGTAATCAATCCAGGAAATGTGCTCTATAGGTAACCTTGGTCGGATCAAGTCCGGTAGTGATATCATCCTGCCAATACCATACAATACATTCTAGTGTATCCTCCAGAAGTACATCCACGCGTCATCCCTGCAAAATATGAATTCCAGACCCACCGCGGTACTTGCTATCCACTGCAGAAGCGAAATACGAATACCCTTAAGGTTCTCCCCCTCAATCTTAGTCTTAGCCCGGGAGAAAGCCAACGTTCCTCTTTCTGGCCGATCCTCAACCTTTCCAAGTGAGGAAAATCTCCTCTCCTCCCAGATGGACCACCATGAAGCCCGCCGACAAGCACTTTCGCTGCACGGTCTGTCAGCGGGGCTTCACACGCATTGATCACCTCAAGCGACACCATCTGCGTCGTACGCTGCCCGCATAACTCTCCCCGACTTCGGCATGAGCTAACGTGGAGAACAGATTCCGGCCAAAAGCCCTACTCGTGCGTTTTCTGCAACGAGGCCTTTGCGCGATGGTACGTGCGACCCCCCTTCTGTCTGCGAAATCTTCAAATCCGCACAACTCACACCATGAAGTGATAATCTTCGCGACCATTATAACGACTGCGCCCAACGTGGAGATCGTCAAATCCCCGAGACTGGCCAGAGGGGCCGTCGGCGACATGCATGTCAATCTGTGAGTTCCACGAATCCGACTTCCGCACAACCCAGACTAACTCGCAGTCCCTTGGCTGAAAAGTGTACCTCGATGAAGCTTCGTTGCGACGGTGCAAGTCCCTGTGGTTCGTGCGTGAAGAGAGGCCTCGACTGCAACAATGAACGACTGCTCCGCACCGACGCCCTCCCCGAACTTGACGACCCCATGACGCGACCGTCTACACACAATATGGAAGATGGCTCTTCAAGCTTCGGGTCTCCCTCGGTTAAGCCAGAGATATTCGACCAGCCATCGGACCGCGGATCGATCAAGTTTCTTCTAAACGGCGGCACCGACAGCTTCACCGAACAGTTTCGGCTCCCGCCACGAGACGATCGCGCTCGGGGTATGGAATTCCACAACCAGGTCGGACTACAAGAAGCTGCAGGAGGGATATTCCCATACAACATGCAAGAGAACCGCTCGCATTTTCCCTCGCCAGTTGCTGGTTCGGATCCCTCATCTCTTCAATTTTTCCAAGACACCTTTCTGGACTTTTTCAATGGGCCATTCGGCGATAGCCAAAAGTCCCTGGAGGACCCTTATAATCCTCGCATCGACTTCAATGCGCCTGGGCAAGATCCAAATACTATACCTATGCAACCAGATCATACACCAGTATTCGAGCCGGAACGGCCTTTTGCAATGGCTCTCATCCAATCTATTCTGGCAAGGGCATGGACTGTACCGCTGGATCCCAAGGCACAGGAGGAAATATCGTCCAGTCTCAACTTCTTGCTTACTACTGCACGTATACGCAAATTCTTGTCGCTTTATTTTAGGTACTGGCAAAATAACTGCTCAATCTTCCACGTCTCTTCTTTCGACCCAGAGACGACTTCATTGCCGCTTCTCGCTGCTGTGACATTTATGGGCGCTATGTATAGCGCAGATCCGCGGGAAACATACATTGCGAAGAGAGTTTTGGACTTTGCTGAGCTCTTCGTGTTCTCCAGTCCCGTCTTTTCGCCCGAGACTGAGGTCGCTTCTGTGTTCTCAGGTCACAAGACCCCGGAAGATGACGACAATGACTGGGTGAAGTTCCAGAATTTCTTGGCTGGCCTTGTTATTACTGTTGTTCAGTACTGGGCAGGTAGCCGCGCTTCACGAAATCGTGCGATGGAAAACCGATTTAGCGAAATTGTCAAAGTTGCCCGACGGCTCGAGCTCGTGAAATGCAGACATCAACCCCATGAGCAGCTACAGGAAGATCTCTGGATTCAGACCGAGTGCCGCATCCGTGCCATTAGTGTCATATCTCTGCTTGATTGTGCATTCTTCTTTTACCAGAACTACCCATGTCGTTTGACTCATTCTGAGATGGAATGCGAGCTTCCATGTGAAGAGTCAGTATTTCAGGCCGATCATCCGTTTTCCGAGCCCAATTTTCGGTTTACTCGGGAAATCACCATCTACTCAGCTTTTCAAAATCTTTTTGAGCCTGTGAAAAAAGATGGCCAATCTGCCGATATTTACGATATGGGACTGACGGTCCTGGATACCTTCATTCTGATTCACGGTACGTTCCAATCTATCTCCCTCTAGTCTGGCTTGAATTTTGCTAACACTGGAACGCTATAGTTTTATTCGCCTTCATCAATACGCACATGACACTAGTCGGACTCTTGAAACGGCAAAGTTCTGTCATCCAAGCTTTACAAAATACAACTCATGGAGATGGCAGCAGGAGCATGATACCAGAAGACTCCTTATTGATTTCAATTCGCACAGCTCTGAGCCGCTGGCGCGACTACTGGCTCGCAGTCCGCAGCAAAGTTTCGAACGACGAGTGGGCTTCGATGGGATTCTACAAAAACGGGTATAATTTCTGGCTTGTCTCGCAGCTTCTCATTACGAACAAGGATGCTGTTGATGTCATTCTCCAAATGGAAGTTCATTGCGAAGATAAGCTCGAGAAATTGAAGGTTTTACTCAAGGACGAACAGGACTAGCGAGCGGTGTGCTGCCATTTCATCTTGCTTGATAGAATAATGAAGGCGTTATTGGGGCTTTCTTTTTTGGTCTCTTAAGCGAATACCGGCTGGGATAATGAGCGATTGGCGTTGATCATCAAACACGATATCCACTGTTTATTTATTTAATTTTCATCCTATATTTCATACTATTGAAATTATCAATATAATACCAAAAAGAAAGCCTGGTGCAGGAAGGTTCCTCATTCATTCTTATATTCTTATTGATCATTATTTGTGGCTATACTAGTATCTAAACTAGGCATAACCCAAATTCCAAAAATTCTCAATATTCTTCCCCGTGTCTTCATCCACATACAAAGGTGCCTCCGCGAATGTGATATTCTCACCATGTAATTCCGCGATTTTTCCTGTCAATGACGCATCATCTACAAAGTTGGCAACGGCGGTTGTTGCGGTAGACATTGGCGTGAGTATCATCGACTTGAACAAATCAGAACTAGGAGCAATGTTCGTTTCTGCTCTTCATTAGTAGATACTGGAAAACGAGGGTCGCACTAAAACGCTTACCAATAACGGCAGGTGCCAACCCATTGATTCGAATTTTCTTTGTTGCAAGCGGTCTCGAAAGTGATCTAACCAGCCCGACTACTCCATGTTTGGAGGCTGCGTATAACGGCGCCATAGGGAATGGATAAAGTCCTGCATTAGAAGCTGTGCACACGATCATTCCTCTCGATGAACCACTGATCGCATTTTTCGCAATGTAGTGAATTCCAAGTTGTACAGCTATCCAACAGCGTTAGTACTGCTAGTCCCTCATAGCCACAAGCTGAAACTTACAATAGATACATCCGATCAAATTCACATTCAAAGTGGCAAGTTCTGGTTTTATAGGCCCTCCGTTTTCGTCATTGGTTGGCAGCAAGCTGCCTTTCTCGTTAATACCCGCATTTGCAAAAACGATATCAATTCGACTCTGCTCGCTGTAAATTTTTTCGAATGCTGCAGCTTGGCTCTCCCAAGAAGACACATCGCATTTCTCAAACGACACGCTCGCATTTGGAAACTCCGAACGAAGTGCGTTCAATGTCTGCACGCCCGTCGTGGGATTAATGTCTAGGATTGTTACATGTGTGTTTTGCTCCGTGATCAAGTGCTTTGTTATCCCTAGTCCGATTCCGGAGGCCCCGCCTTATAGTAAAAAAATCAGTAAGGCTGAAATTCGGTCCATCGCACTCGATTTCACTTTTTCTTACCTGTAACCACAATGCTTCTGTGAGACGCCATCTTGAAAGTTGCTCAACAATTCGAGATACAGATCGAGCTCATCGGCCCCTTTTGCCAGCACTCGTTCCGCAGTCGGCTAGTGTCTCCCTTCTTCTTCCGCGTCATAACCCCTCCCTGCTCGGCTCCCCACATCCTAAAGTGGATCCGGGGGATTTCCGGTATTATGAGGCTTTGACGATCTTCCAGCATAATATGGCGGCTTATGAAAATTGTTTTGCGCGTCGGTTATGTCTACTCCCCGATGTCCGACCAAGACTGCCTGCTTTAGCTGAACTTAATCTGTTTCTCGGCCGCGTTTTCGGATATATTTGATGTGGTGGCGTTGCACCGGTGTACACCCCGCACCTATCTTGACAACCAGTGAGGAATTCGCTTCTCAGGACAGGCTAGTTCTTGTAGAAGCTGAATGGTTCATCAAAATACCGCTCACTGACACTTTTCAGATAATAATTCCAACCAAGGTAAGGTTGTTCACCGAGAACAATTTAATTGGCGAAACCCTGGAATACCTCGGCACGAGTATGTACATATCTTGAAATTTTTGTCGAAAGGGCTTGTAGGCTTCTACTGGTTGTAATCTCCTAAGGAAAAAAACTTGAACTTGACAGGAAATAACGCCAGAGTACGCTCAATTTTCCTTCAGCATTTCCCTAGGCCTGCCCTGGTTATCATCACTATCGTAACAGCCGGAATAAAGCACAGACCGTTGAAGATCACCAAGTCATCAATATAGACAAATAACTTGCAAACTATGTGACTTCGTCTTTATGAAAACTCAGCAGGGGCTAGAATTCGACGAGTGATATGACAAACTCTGATGGCATCCCATCTATTGGGCCTAGATATGCCCCGCTTCTCGCAGAAATGAGACAATTAGCGAGTAATACAATTAGCATGATTTGTCCTTTTCTCAACATTTTCGTCCCCATAATACTCTGAAATCGGTGAAACCCCATGGGGGACCCCGGATTCTAGATCAGGGGGTTCTCCACGATGGGGCTTCGCAGCCCCATATTCCTGCGATTGATGAGGTCTGTCAGCCATACTACTTGTGACAGCCGCTCGGAAACTCTAGTAAAGCCACCTGATATTGTAGTTCCAGAGAATTGAAGAGAAATTGAATACTATCGGTATTAGAACTGAACAATAGTCAAGGCCATGTATAAAAGATAGTATTTATTGGCACAAGGACACCAGCTGGCTCGCGATCAGTTTTCAACCTGGAAATTTGACATCGAAGAAACCCAGGTGTGAAACTTTGTGGATTCCAAGGCTCTCCTCTATTACTGAGTAATTAATAGTTCAAGTTACTAATAACTGAAGATCGACATTTTTTTTCTGGTCTCCTCTTAATACAGCTTACATCACTCGCCTAGGTACTACTAGTAGTACTTTACCCCCTCTTTTTTTACAGAGCGAAGCTTCAGGGACCTCGACTTAAAGTTGATTCGACACACTGCTAGTATTGAATGCCAACCACCAAAATGCCTTTTGGTATTCTAGATGACGACAAATTGGAGCATATTCCCGGTACAGCACCACTGAACGGGCTCCAAAATACTGATACGTATTCGGGTATCGATCCTGGATTTCTGAAGCGCGATCCAACGGGGCAAATTGTACTTGTTCCGCAACCCTCGGACTCTCCGAACGATCCCTACAACTGGCCACGCAAACAAAAAGAGTTGTTTACAATTGCATTCGGATGGGGCTGCGGGTGTGTTGGAGGTAAGTAAATATTCTGAAATGTGTAGAGCGCGGATGTCTGATTCATTCCGTCTTTAGCGGTCGGTCCACTCCTCGGAGGAGCCTTCGTTCCGCTCGCTGCGGATTTTGGCGTCTCTCTATCTACATTCGTATCGGCCGTCCAGGGGGGGTACAATTGCTGCAATTGCGATCGGAAGTCTTATATTTAATTCCCTTGCAGTGAAGTATGGAAAGCGACCGGTGTATCTGGGCACAACAGTCGGTTTGATGATTTCCTGCTTCTGGGCGGCCGAGGCGAAAAGTTTCGAGTCTTTCGTAGCTGCAAGGGTCTTTTGCGGGCTCTGTATGGCGCCGATGGAGGCATTAGTCCCGGCATCCATTGCGGATATTTGGTACGCCCATGAAATATCCCCAGATACGACGTGTACTAATACGAGGTCAAAGGTTTGTTCACGAAAGGGGTTTCCGGACTGCTGTATTCAACCTAGGAATCCTTGGGGGAATCAACTTGGCAGTTCCGATTGGTGAGTTGAGTCGGTACTCATTCCCAGTTTCTTTATCTGATTGGCGACAGCTGCCGCAATTATTGAATACGGCTCCTATCGCATAGCGTTACATGCAATGGGAGGCGCCTTTGCACTAACCCTCATCATGGTATTCTTCTGGATGCCCGAATCTGCATATTGCAGGCAGGCTTTAAACATCGACACGGGAGAAGCAAACGTATGTTAAATTCCATCATGATCTTTTTCGAATTCCTTTGCTCATTTGTTCCTAGGTCGTGGTTGAAGGCAAAGGAGCGTTGGAGCAGCTTGAACATGCACCTACCTCCCGATCAATGCCAAATGAAGAATCCATGTCCTGGAAGCAAAGGCTGCTGCCATACAGTGGCTATTCCAACCAAGTTTCGTTCTGGAATACTCTGGTCCGGCCGTTCTACCTCATTGCGTCACCCGCCGTACTGTGGGCAGTTCTTCTTTTCACAACATGCATTTCGTGGCTCGTAGGAATATCGCTCACGCTATCGCAGATATTTTCTGCACCTCCTTATAATTTTTCAGTCGTTGGAGTCGGAGCAACAAATTTGTCGTCATTTGTGGCCTCTGTTCTCGGTACCCTGACCGCGGGCCCACTAATCGACGGTTTGGTCACCAGAATGTCCAAAATGAATGGAGGAATATTCGGTATGCCGCAGTCTTTTGGACCATTACCTCTGATTGATTGGAAATGACTGATTTGAACATAGAGCCTGAGTTCCGTTTACCCATAATGGTGACATACCTCCTGTTCACATCCACCGGGTTTTTCGCTTGGGGTCAAGCTTCATACGCGCAGGATCCTTGGCCAGTGCCCGTGATAGTGTGCCTTGGACTTATTAACTTCGGTGTTCAGCTTGGTACGACCGGGGTAGTGACATACGTTGTCGATTGTCACCGGGAGAAAGCAGGCGAGGCATTTGCTACCATGAATTTCATCAAGAACTTGTTCGCATTCGGATTGTCATTTTACATCAACGACTGGATTGATAACCAAGGAGTCCGAAACTGCTTCTTTGCCATCGGAGGTATCACCATGGGAGTTACACTATTCACCATTCCAATGTAAGTATCAGTACAACTTGAAGTTGCCGCATTTTCGAGAGGCGCAAGAAAACTCCAGCTAACATGGATCCTCAGGTACATATTCGGCAAACGAGCTCGCAGCTGGGTTCACCGACACGGAATTGCTGATAGGCTGTGAGATGGGGATACCTACCTAGATACTCGGTGGATATGTGCGAAAATTTGAAAATGACATTTGTGGGATTGAAACGCATATCATGTGTGACTATGAATATGTACATACAGTCCATTTACGCATTATCCGGTCATGCGGAACTTGAACAGGTCGTTTTCGACAATAAGATCCTGTTTACTTTCCACCTCTTCCAGGTCCCAATTACTCCATACAAATCTCCCATTTAGCCAATTCCGTCGCTCCTTCGCGAGCCAGATGATTGTATCGGCGGGGAGTGTCGGCTCATCCGCAAGAGAAAAGTGAAGCATCTCTGGAAAGTTGGCTGCCATATCAGTCTTGATGCCGCCGGGGTGTATTGAGATCGCAATCAGTTCATCATCCTCATATTCACGCGCTAAAAACTCGTTCAGTCGCACATTTGCGAACCGAGATGTCTGATAAGAAGAGGCGCCGTAAGACAAAGTGTGGGCTCCGATTGAGGAGAGGTTGATGACTGTTTTTGTCTTCGAATTCAAAACAAATGGCAGGAAGTAGTGACAACAAAGGAATGTTCCCTTTACATTAACTTCCCACGCTTTCCACCATTCTGTTGGATCAGACTCGATGACGGTCTTGAATTCAGGTAGATACCCGGCATTGTTGACGAGGATGTCCAACTTTCCCCCCAAAAGTAGCTTCGAAATTCTGGCTAGCAGCCTTGACAGACTCATCTGATGTCACATCCATACGCAATGGCAAAATATGAGGAGTTTTGATACCGCACTTGGCAGCTTCATCTTTGATTTCTTTGATAACACCTTCAAGGGAAGATCGAGCAGCGACAGCGATCCGAGCACATCCAGCTTTGGCGCACCGCACAGCAGTGGCACGCCCGATGCCCTTCGAAGCACCCGTGATGAGAATGGACTTTCCGGAGAGTTCTGTCCCAATTGGCTCGATGAACTGGTATGTATCATGATGATTCTTGGCGAATGCTGCAAGCTCGAAGGCATTGGTCGGCCTAATGAAATCCATGATATCCGCCATCATTAGCGAGTAAGGATGCAAATATGATATTGGAATAAAGATTCAAGTTCCTGATCGCTCTTGAATTGGTATTTTCAAGCCCTGGAGTTACCTAGTAGCTGTTAGAGATCTTTATACTCCGAGCATACTGTATTACGTATTTTCGAATGCCGGATTTAGTTGACTTTAACACCGAGGTATTGAATCCATCGATATCTCCGGGCCAAGACGGAGTTTGGCAAGGGATTTACACATTGGATCATTATCGAACTCGCCCGGGCGTGAGAGAAACGAGACATCAACGCGAAATTACCTAGGTATACGAGCTAGAATACCGCGCTCCATTGCGGCAATCGGCCCAATTGTTTCTGCCAAGATTTATCAAGTATATTCCACCCTCAGTGGAAGCGATTCTATGTAGACAACTTGAACTTGCCCAAGTGCTTGACCCCAGTTTTTTAGGCTACCGAGTATATCGCTTTTTAGGATACCGGGTGGGATACTGGAAAGATACCAAGTTGTGTGATGTTCACTAATGCTAATACTACATACAACTGGCATACTAGCACCAAACAAGTAACTAATTCCTGATCCTAATTAAAAATGTTCTCAATCTATCACAAAAGAAAATAATGTTTCCTGTCCAAATTTGTACATAGTGCACTAGTAATTTTCGGACACTTCCACTGTGGCATAACAATGGGTCGACTGTTGCGATGAAGCGCTGTGCTGGAATGACGTCACTCTTCATAAAATATCCCATGTCCACATATCCCTAGAATCGCAAGAAACTTGGGTCTATCTGCTCAAACTGGTCAGTTTATCCAGTTTAACCCGATTCTCACATTGCTGCCCGAGTGAAGTTGATTACTATTTATGAATTCTCAAATATAACCTTGTCGTGGAAGGAATTCTCAAAGCCAATGAAGAGTGACACTTTATTATATCGATTGAAAGGCCAGTGAGACTGAAGCTTACTAGTATCCTGTTCAGGGACCTGAATGAATGAAAGCACCCCAAAGCATCGGATGCACACCTCTTTGCCTCAGTGCCCCAACTGCGTCATGAAGAGCATATGGTGCTCGATCCAGATCCATGCGATCCTGCCCATTTTGTTTTAAATTGGAATAGAATATACCCGCAAGTTCCGTCGAAATATCATCTGACACCTTCCACAAAGTAGAAATCACATGTGAAACTCCTGCGATGTGAAAGCCACCAGCAACGTGAATACCCTCATCTCGTAACAATACGTCTTTATTCACCCCGGATTCGCATGCAGAAAGGTAAACTAACTCGCAGCTCTTGAGATCCAGATTAAGAAGTGTTCGCACTGAAAATGGAGAAGGCTTTTTTTGCCAATCCTGTAGCATGATTGCACTTCGGGACGGGTCATCCCCATCAGCCCTAGCGTGGCAAGCAAAGTGAAGGATCGTTGTTTCTGGTGATAAAGCTCCTTTGACACTAGGCGTATTGGGTTGCATGAGGATCTTGACATCAAAATAGGGCGAGAGAACATTTTCGATTGCATTGAGTTCAGATGTGACGTTCAAGTCGCCCTCAGAGCCAAGGCCGGGAGTTTGGGCCATCGCTGCCACGAGAGCCCGTTCATTGGTGTGGGATTGCGATCTTTTGCGACTGGAAGCACCTTGTCTGATATAGGCAAGAGCCTTCAAGGAATTGGTATATGAAGATACAGCAATATCATGGACGCATCTAGACTCGGTGGTGCCTGGAGATTTCTGCGATTCAAAATCCCCGGCCGCGTGGATTGGAAGAATGCTTAGCCACCCCGCCGAAACCCATATTATCCGGGGTTTCTTGAATGAATCTTGCTGATATCTCCCCCAGTCAATGGAATCCATTACGGGTTTAGCAGCCGCTTTCCAGAGCCACTTCATAATTACCTGGTACTCGGCGAGTGCTTTCTGGTGGTCGTCACCCTTCCCGAGATAATGAAGTGCGACGGCAAAGCGCAAAGCATATTTCTGGACTTCCTCCATGCTGAAGTCTGGAAGAGGAACTTGTTTGATATCCTGATCAGTCACTATAATAGCGTCACTCTGATAGGGATTTGCGTTGATGAAGACGATTGGAGCACCGGTGGAGTAAGACTGAATACCCGCCGGGATATTCGAGGTCCTCAGGAACGAGCTAAAACCAGGCAACCGTCTTATTTCTTCCAGAGTTTGGCGATATGTATTGGCGTTATTGTGTGAGTTCAATCGCTTTTCATCCTCGAGAAAAACAACCGTAGCCGAATCCCCGTTCAATGAACTTGAAGACGCCGGTTTTTGAAACAATCGCAGTCTCAGTGTGCGGAACCGCCCAGCTAGCTCTGGTCTCTCAGCTTGAAGGTCATCAAGCTCGCTCGGCCGACCCTGAATGCGATCCCAAATGAAGGCTCGCCCAGACTCTAGACGTTGAATAGCAGTGCTTGGCGGATCTCCAGCCTTGAGTGATAAGGCAGCCACGGCGCCTGGAATGTACTGGTATTTCCTAACAAATTTCAACTGTGCCAATCGACTCTCGTGTAATAGGACGGCCTCTGGTAGAAGGTCAAGACTGATCAAAATATTATCACGAGCCCGTACTGGATCCTCCAGAAGGTCATTGGCAATCTGAGCTGCGATGGATGCAACATGAATGCGATCGGATACTGGGTGCGAAGTCATACGTGCAAGGCGCTCGTAAGCTTCAAGTGCTTTAGATGCATACCCGATGGTGGTAGGGCCTGGGAAGAACTTGGATATCTCATAAAGGACATTCGCGTGTCGCTGCATTACTGTCCAGTATAGTGGATTTCCTTCAGGCATCACGCTACTCGCTTCTTGCAAGGCTCTTTCAGCAGTATCGAAATCGGAAAAATTTCCGGTAGCATTGGCAATGGCTGCGAGGGCGGTAGCCTTGTTGAGGAGCAAAATCCCACGCCTCGAAGATGATGGGAAGCTTTGCAGCGTGAGGGTCTTGTCATAGGTTTCTATCGCTTTCTGTAGGTCCGCCATTTGTGCTGTTAACTTGTACGAACTTTGGTAAGCATCGCCGGTGAGAGTAAGCAGTCCAATTTTCAAGTCATCGCTTAGCGAAATCGGTCCGTCAAGCGCAGTGATGGCTATCTGTTGCGCTTCTGTCAGATCTTTGATGTTTCCTTTGACCTCAAATTGAAGCTGGAGCGCATAACTCAAATTTGCCGCACGCATGGCATATCTAGGATCTTCATTATCAATTCGAGAGAGACTTTTTCTGTAGTATCTCACTGCGGATTCGATGTCGCTATCCGCCCTCCAATGGAGGAATCTTTGAACCATGACCGAGCCGAGAGCGGCGGTTATCATGAAGGTATCTCTATGCTGATCACCTCCATTCAGGCTCTCTAATTGGGTCAGAGCTTCCTTATATGCATCGATGGCTTTTTCCAAATGATCAGGTAACGCGTGAAGATTGAAAAACTTCACATAAGTATTACCTAAATCATTCAACGCGAGTGGCCGAGACGAAAGGTCTTTAGGCATGAGTTCGCAGGTCCTTTGAAATGTTCTGCATGCCTTCTGAAGAAGCTCTGCATTTTGCGTCAGGTCGTACAATTTGCGACTGACTTTACCAGTCACCCATAAACAGCATCCTTGGCTAATAGCGTCATCCTGTCTGCATTGGGAAAAAGACCTTCCAGCCACAGAATCAGCTTCCACCAGATCCGAGAGACGACCGAGCCGTTCGTATCGCTCTATCAGGGCCAGAGCACGTAGCCGAGACTGGGCTGCTAGATCGATGCTATTCTGACCATTGGTTGCTGTTTTTGTATACTCAATTACTTTGTCGAGATTGCTAGTCTCGCCAGCAACTTCATAAAGAGCGTAGTGCGTGGTAGCGCAGCAGAGGAAAACCGACTCAGAATCTCGATGACCTGGTGGCAATGCCCTCGCCTTGTCTTCGGTGACATCTATTGCCTCCAGCAAAATGCCGTGTGCCAGGTCGCGATCGACTGTTTTCTCCGCAATTTTCTGCAGAGCTTCCGCGAGACAGACTCTTGGTTTCAGAGCATCGGGATAATCTTCAATGACTTCTCTCCACACATCGCAGGCCTTCTGATCTGCGTCGGAGTCGCCCAGAATCTCCGCCTTCAATTTTTCCAAATTGGCAAGTTCATTTTGAAATCGCTGCCATTCCAGAGTTTCTGGAATTTCGAACGTGATTGCCTTCTTCAGTAGGAAAGATGCTTTAGTACCATCTTCCTCTTTCTTGCAGATTGTGAAGCGCGCATTGTAAGCCGCCGCCGCATTCCGATGAATCATGCCATACGGAAGATGTGGTTTTGATGAGCGACCTGGGTTATCATCACAAATCTCGATCGCAAGGTCATGGATCGCGATACATTCTGCCAGCTGCACTTCACTCTTCTCGTTCTCCCCGGATATAGTCTGACGTAGAAAGTCGCCCTTGTTGGAGAGATGTCGGGCGCGTATTGGAGACAGTCCCGTGAGCTCGATGGCCTTGTCAAAGTACACTCGTGCATTTTCCTTGTCAATGATTTCTTTTCTCTGTCTATAGCGCTCCACGTACATGATACCAACGTCACAGGCCCATTCACGAAGTATCTCGTCTGCCTCTTGAGCAGTTTTCACCGCTAACTTGTAATGTCTGACGGAAGCGTCCAGGTCTTTATTTCTCCTGTCCCTTTCCCATTTTATTTGGTACAATGTGCCCATGTGGTGATTGGACTTTCCTCGACCTGGGCTCGAATCTGGGACATAGCGGAGAGACAGGGCCTCTAGGGCAAACGCCATAGAGAGATCAGTGTCACTCTGGTTTAGTTTGTATCTAGCGAGAGCCATTTCCGACTGGATATGGCACATGCCAGGGCGATTGGGGTTATCTCCTGCATGCTGAATGGCACAGACCATAACTTTCGCATTATGCGGCAAAGTTTGGAGATAGTTAGGATCATCGAAAAAGTCACCGGGCGCAATATCTTCTGTGATTGGCGGATCTCGAGTAAACGATTCGTTGGTAGCGTGTAACAAGGATTCAGGGATTTTGTTTGGGGAAGAGTTTGTCGCCATTATGAATAGCCAGTACTACTGAGGACAGTATTGAGTAAAATCCAAAGTCAAATACACGCTCAGATCGAATAGGATTTCATGTCAGCAATCGCGAGGTCGGAAGATGACAATCGCGGGGTAAACTGGAACATAATCAGATTAGTTACCAGGGAGGCTTAGATGTGTCGCCAAGCATGCCAATATTCACTAGTCCCCAGTCGGAGCTAATGATAGTATGTTAGCCTTACCTCCAAGTTCTCGCTTGATCTTTCTAGATTTGCTAGAAATTCGAAAGTTCCAATCGATGTTCAAATCTATGAACAGATCAACCGAATTTGGTGATGGCGAGGGTCGTTAAGAATTTGTCTCGCTGACGCTCTCTCAGAAGGCTCAAAATCTAACAGCTGGCCAATGAGTTGACCCAGCCTGCATATGTCCTCTCTTGACAAACCAGGTTCAAGTTCACGTGGGCTATCGAAGTGTGTTAATGTTCTCCAGCCATGTTTGTAAACTTCGCCCGGGTTCGTCGTCGCTTGAACAACCTTTCCTCGTATCCAAGACCCCTTTCCATCTTTCCGGTAAATCGTCGCTCATCATATTACGCATTTGACCAATGAGAATCGGTCTTGGTAATCCAGTGTCAAACGGTGGCTGGCTGTGTATCGCCCAGAGTTTTTCGCAGATTGACTGGAAAGTAGCCACCTCGTACATATCGATGAACTGGTTCGGAATCACCGGGGAGATTATAAAGAAGGTGTCGATCTATTTGGCTGGAGTATGAATGGCTGGAGATGGGCTTGGGGACCATGGGGAGGCGTGAAATGCGTCTCAACCGGAAGCCAAGCCTCGGAAGCAACGAAGAAGAAGTGGAAGTGGTCATGAGGTCGATTCAACAGCTTTCATGTCGATGATGGTAAGGCCCGGTGGTGTTTTGATGTGACCGAATGAAGCGAAATGACGAGGGATCAACCCACGACGCGTTGTGTCGGGAGCTACCGCCTTCCTCGGCCAGCCCCAACAGCCAGGAATTTCAACTTCAACTTCAAAAGTCTTCAGCTCGGTATGACCCGAGGGAGAACAGTCGACTTGGACCAAAGGAACGTATGACGATTTCAGCCCACGCATACCGAGGAGCTTTCGGCAAAAACTTTTGTCGACTACGCTATTTTTAATCGGGGACCCGCTTCGGTCTCCGGCACCTTGGGGACTCCATTGTATATCAGTTGGACCCACTCTAGTTATTGGAACTAAGGTTCCATTGCAGGGAAGGTTCAAGTTGATCTGGTTGTATTTTTTTCCGGTGAGAATTTGCTTGCCTAAAGTTGGATGGATGAGATGCTACCGTTGCTGGTGTGGTTGCAAAGACCAACGCAGATTCCAAATCTACGTTGAATATCTCATCAGTCCCGATATAATTGAGCAATTGGGCAGTCCCTATACTCTCCGTTTTCAATATAATTGCTCCTCTGGGTAGTACATGCCACTGATGTCGTGGCTTGGAACAGTAACAGTGGCACTTGATGGCTCAAAGTTTATTTGCGTTGGAACAACTTCAAGTTAAAAACGAACTTTTTCATACATATAGCTCTTTTTGCAAGAGCTAAACCTTGGAATCAATACTAATATTCTAGGAAGCTCGGGTGGAGTTCATTGAAATTCAAGAAGTCTGCCAAACACACAGGAACGGTTTTAAAACCAGGAAGGAAGGAAATACGCCGCCGCTTACTATGGTATTACGAAGATTCATGGATGAATAATTCAATTCAATTTGGGTTTGGGCACCTAGGTACCATTGGTCTAATTGTCACAAAATAAAAATCAGATGATCTAGAGAATCCCTCTCATCTATAGCGGTATGAATTTTAAGGAGAGTAATTCCGCCTGATACAAAATGTTTGAATGGGGCTTATTTGCAGTTCCCAGTGGCCGCGTTAGCAGCTTGCTGTTATGAATCGATTAGCTGCTGCCTCCCTCACAGTAAGGACTGGCTGTCAAAATCATACCACACAAAGTCCCGATTTACAATTGCCCATGCTACCGTCTTTCTTGCAGGTTCCTCCAGCGGGGATCTTTTCTTCTTGTCAGAGATATTCTCAATCAAAATATTGGTTTAAGTTCATACCGGTGTAGTAGCCATGGTCAGGCCAGCAATGGCAAGAATGAGGAATTCGAAGCGCATAGTGTTTATTCGAGGGCTTAATGATTGAGAGTAGTATGATCGAAGGAAGATGGAATTGGAGCTGTAAAATTTTGATGAGGATGAATTTCAGGATATTTATGTAGCAGTATTCGAAGCTCCGGGAAAATATTTAATTCGGGAATCTCTGAGAGCGTGTATGAAATTTAGTGATCGGCACCCGTGGACATCGCACCCCATAGTAGACTCGGAAGAAATGATCCACTACTAGTCAGCGGCTAACTATGCCGAACATAAATGAGCGGAAAAAGATTCTGAGATATTTCCCATGTCACAGGGGTCGACAATCATTGCCCATGAGCCTCCGCCACCCGCGAACATGGTGGGATTGACGATCCCCGGCCCCGGGGGACTTCAAGAAGCAGCCTGAAATTTCCTACCTTATTTCTTCCCAGGCATTGATAAAAGAAAAGAAGCTAGTTTCCTTCTGGGAAAGTCTCGGGTGATTTCTTTGAGGAATTCGCCTTATCAAACAATGTCTCAACCTGTAACGGTATAGGAATCTCTTCTGACTTGCCGGTCCATCTGGTCATTTTCTTCATTTTCTTCAGAGTTTCCGTTTTGGAGTTCTTGAAAAATGGAAGTATCGTGGCATAGTACCGTGCACGGTTGATCGTGACCTAGTATGTTTATCCCGAGGTTTCATTCTGTGGCAACGGAGTCAAGGCATTTGACATTCAGTGACACCGTGAGATCAAAAAGGCGTCGGGAATTATGTTGGTGCAGCAATAACCCGAGATGACTAGTCGTACGAGTTAGTTAGCACACGATCTACCTGATTAATCTCCTGAATCTTTAGCTACTAGTGGTCAATATCTACTGAATAAGTGGAAGTTGAACGACTAATCAATTATCATCATGAATCACAAACCCAGGTCCTGTTCACTAGCCCCGAAGGTTCCAAAACATAAGTCAGACCAGGTGCTGCAGTTGTGATACCTGGAGGCGTATTGTGATGCCTGAACGCCTCCAAGTATCCTCGTTAATCCTGTAATAGTGATATAATCTCCTTGGTGGCCTCCCAGTAGTGATTTCCGTAGCTTTAAGCTCCAACCCCAACCCGTTTCAATCTCAATCCATCGCCATGTCCAGAACTGTAGCGGCATTTATGGGCACTTGAGCCGGGCCGCTACAACTGGATTATCCTGCCTGGCAACACGAACTATCAAGAAGACCTGCCATGCACCACTTGAACATGATCCCTTAGCTTATCCTTTCGTATGAATGTTTTTTCACAAGCGGAACATTTGAATTGTGATGGATGAAGATGCACAGTCTTGACATGACGCAGCAATGCAGCCGATCTTGAAAACTTGTTTCTCTGGGTACAGCCTTCCCACTGGCACCTAATTCCGTTCAAACTGCACTAGGGGTTAGAGTTTCCTATAGTATTTGAGTGGGGCTGAGTTGTTCCGAGAGGGCTCACTCTGAATGTAGCTTTGGGTTCTCTGCAACAGAAGTCCGATCCTCATGATAATCAAAATTGTCGACAGAAGTTGAAGGCAGCCTACTAAGGAATCCATGGCTTGGGGCTGGTGGGACGCAAGAACTTGAATGTTCCATGTCTTCACACAGAATACATCTTCGAGCTGCGTCGATGTGATTAGCAGTACCGGTGCTGATTTCCGGGATTGCGGAGCTACTGGTACAAGCATGATCATACCCTTGGATGGAAGAACCAAAAGGTCCTATGAGATAAGTATTCGGTGAAGCGACTGTCTGCGGCAAGAGTTCCAGCGAGTAATTCCCATAGTAAGCATTATGGGATGGTGAGATTTCCGGGAGTATCTGTGACCACGCCGGTTGAACTAGATTGTCCCCATGGCTACTCAAGCCGATTCCAAGAGGATTCTGTCCAGCATCTGGATAGAAGAGATCTCGAGAAGTGGTATCGAGCCCCGTGCCAGTAGCGTCGCCAGAAAGGCCATAATCGTCAATCCACTCTGAAACTTCAAATTCTCTGATTCCTTTTTCCGACGGCATCCGTTTACATGCCGAGTGTTTTGTTGTTACATGATCCCACTGATCGGTAGATTCCTGTTGTTTCGAAGTGAACATTCCGAGGGGGAAGGAGGAATGAATGAAATCTTGCAAAATAAGAGGTTAGATTGTTGCTTTCAGATTTTTGACAAGAGGCTACTCAATTAAAGAGTAATATCTGGCCAAAGGTAAATGACCACGGAGACTGTTCCCAAAAAAAACAACCCAATCAGCTTAACTCAGGCGGCTGCCTAATCAGCAGGTCTCGGCCGATGGCCAGACAAGGCAGAAAGATTCACGCACATCGATTCCAGAAGTAGTTCGAGTTTCTCGCGTTAAAGTAGGAAGATAATTCGAATTATATTGAGGCGGGGGGGGTAATTTGGGTTTAACAGGGCGGTCTTGACCCGACGGATGTTTGTGACGAGGCGTGAGGCGTACATGCATGACAACTTTGGATTCAACCAATCATTGCACAATGCGGACCCCCGTTCGCTGCCCAACATCTCCTCTTGTTGTAAAGCTAGTTGACTAACAGTACTGAGTAGAAACTCAAACGCTTATTGGAGATTGTTCAAATCGTCGCGCATAATGTGTGGCTTGAGGTAAAGCCCTCTTTGCACTGCCTAAGGCCCAGCAAACATGGTCACCAAGGCTTCCTCGACCTTCTAATAATCCTTCAGCCTCCCACCCTCTGCAGAGGAGTCAAGGTCAACGAACTTCTTTCCAAAAATTTCGCCATGGATGAGGTCGCAGTCTGGGAGGGACATAGGTCCGAGATTGAACGTTTGTATCTCAGAGAGAACATTACTCTTAATCAGCTCATGAAAGTTATGCGGATCGAATATAGATTCCGTAAAACGTAAGATACCTAGTACTATGCGGTGCGATGCCTGCGGGCCACCAAGGTTAGCTAACTCTGACTCCATACCTGCTGTAGGGCCAACCAGTATCATAAACAGTTCCAAAAATGGAATTTCAAAAAACGCCACGGACAAATCATTTGGAAATATGTTGAGCATCAGCTGAGGAAAAGAGGAGAGCGAGAAACTGATGTCTTGATCGACGACCAGCTCCAATCACCGTCTAAAGTCCAACGTGAAATCCGACGACAGGGTTACCGATTGACTATCGACAGGTTTCGTACAGGTAATTGATTGCCTTTCAGATATAATGTAATTGCAAAACTGACATACGCTAGCTTCATCCCCAGAGGCACCTCCAGGAGTGGTGGTTTGCTCCCCTCAACCCAAGATGAAGCGATTACAATTGACATCAAATTTGCCCTGGATTCAATTTTCTCGTGGTTATAAATTCTCGTTATACCCTGCTTCAGGTTTGGATTCATGATTCTATGCAACGATGACTCCAAACTTACATCTCTTAGCATGTCAACTGGGTATTCTTGATGTTACGACATCTCTCTCAGAGACTACTAAGCACATGTTTCCGCATATACATCAGGAGCTGACCCATGCTTTGAAGTCGGATTTCTTGGATTTCATCGGTTTATGGAAGCCCTGCAAGGACCTCGCGCTGTCTGAGGCAGGCGAAGCGCAAGTACCAATCTAGCTCTTATGTTCCCACGTCCTATAGCTCTGACATTATCTGTAGTTTGATTGAATACGACATAAAACAGTTTCTCCAGTTCACCATGTTTTTGCTTTCGAATAAACTTCCAATCCATGTGCAAATCAAGAGTCTGGATCGACGAAAGTGGCTCGCTGAAGAGGACATCCGCATCATGAGACTCGTTGAAGTCCTGGAACTTTCTAATGGTTTCATATTTCAACACCTGTTATCAACCACTCAATCATCTGCGCAAGCTATTTTAGAAAGGATTTTTCAGTCTGCAATTCGACTGCAGGATTTCAAGATTATTGAGATCATGCTTCAGGCAGGAATCAGTCCGGATCTTCCTATCGTCTCATGTGAATCTGGCAAAGAGCTATTGGTGTCGCCTCTGGAGGTTGCCGCGAGTATTGAGAACAGAAGTGTTTCCCTTCGATTGACTCGCCTTCTTCTTTCATTCCAGGCCAACATCCACCAATTCAAATCGAAGCCTGCTCTTCAAATCTGCATTGAGATGATGGGAGACTATTCAAACCCTAACAGAGAGCTCCCTACGGAGCTTTCTGCCGAACGAGAGAATTTGGAACTTCTTCGCCTGCTTTTGAAGTCCAATCCTGATCTGGAAACACGATTTCGGGGATTTGGAGCAAGGGGTCCAAAAGTCACAGCACTTGGTCTTGCGGTAACTCTTGGGCAACTACAAGCAGTCAAAGTCCTTATTGAGCACCGCGCGAACATTTATGCAGCCCAGCAGACGTATCTGGATAGCGACTATCCAAAATTCAAAACCGATCTTCTTGGCCTCGCCTCCAAAAGAGGAGATATGGCAATGATGCGAATGCTTTTCGATATTTCTTCGAACCAGAGAAGCCAAACCACTCTTTGCTACAAACTTATCGAATCTCTCATTCTTGCCGTGACTTTTAGTCACGAGGAGGCCACAAAGCTCCTTCTGACCGCAGGAGTTGCTGTCCAGGCTGCTGACAATTTTCTTATGGCAAGAGACGCTAGCCACAAAACGCTTGTGGAAAGAGCTTTGGCCCAGCAAAGTCGCAGGCTACATCTTACTCTGCTATCTGCAGGGGCAGTGCCAGTTGATCGACAAGCTGTTATAGACTCCTACAGCTTCGATCTTCTTCGTTCAATAAAGGCAAACGATGTAAGAGTTGTGACAGATATGTTAAGCTGGGGAGCTCCACCAGATGACGTCTACGATGATTTCCCAGATAGCGCCCTTGGTGCAGCCATTGCACAAGGAAGCTGTGAGCTCATCAAACTCCTCAAAATTGCAGGTGCTACGGCCGAAGATCTTCGAATTCCATGCATTCCAGATATGGAAACAGTATGCTGCCTGACGGAAATCGGATTCCTCCCGACCATTCTGATCAACAGTGGTCAAATGATCCTCACCTGTGCCATTCTGAAAGCCAAAGACGACAAACTGATAAACCATCTCTTGAGCTGTGGCGTTGATCAGCAAGAGATGAGACTTGGATTTCCTGAAAGTTTCGAATATTGGTTAGACAATTTAGGGTTACCAGAATGTCGAACCCCACTAGAGGCTGCCCTCTCACGACGAAATATGGCACTGGCACAAGTTCTCATCCGCAGAGGGGCGCGGGTTTCGGAGAATGAGCTCAATGCGATTGTCTGGCAAGCGGTAATAACGGACGATGAAATAATCGTTCCGCAATTCCTTGCCATGTTTTCGACCCCTTTCCAGGCGCCGACTGCGATGGGGATGGCAGTACTTTGGGGAAGAAGGGACATTTTTCTAGCACTCCTCGAGTTCGGAATCGACCCGAAGGGCTATGTTTTTATAACCGACCCTCCAGATGAGGACGAAGAAGTCACTAGCCATAATTCAGGCTGGTGGCATTTGGAGCCTGAAGGTATTATGTCGTCAGTTCTACAGGTCGCAGCCTCAAAGGGTGACCGCTGTACCCTGCAGCTTTTCCTCAACTCGGCGAATTGGTCAGAAGAGGACAAAGGGCGCGCTCTCACAGCCTCCATTTTCTGGAGAAATTATCATATTGTGTCTGATTTGTCCGAAGCTGGTGCGAGTGTAAATCAAGGAATCTTGGAGACATTCGCATTATCTGATAGGTATGTCCAGCACATGAGATACTCCCAAGAGCCATTTGAATTCCAAGCTAACATCAGCTACAGAGTGAACACTGAAATGCTGCCTTTGCAACTGGCTGTAAACGCCAATAATATCGATATGGTAAAATACCTTCTAGCAATGGGTGCAAAAATCAACCAACTCGAAGCAGGCGTCGGTGGCAAAACCCCCCTACAGGTCGCTGCAAAAAATGGCAACGCCGAACTTCTCACGCTACTTTTGGACCACGGAGCGGATGTGAATCATCCCCCTGCAACAAACATGGGGGCCACTGCATTACAATTTGCTGCCAGTGAGGGTCAAATTGAAATTGTTTGCCATCTTTTGGACATTGGCGCTGATGTGAATGCCCCGAGGTCGCAGATTTTTGGGAGGACAGCCATGGAAGGAGCCGCAGAGCGTGGTCATCTTGACATACTGCAGCTGATCATCAACAATGGGGCTCAGACCGACGGTCTTGGTCGTGGGCAGTTGATCCGGAGTGTGAAACTAGCTGAGAACAACGGTCATTTTGCTACAGCTCGCCTTTTAAAGTCGACTTGTGGATGGTCAGAGGCAGATAAAGCCCGTTGTTCCCTAGAACGGTTTGACGAGCAAGAACATCTGAGGTAGCTACCTCAGCGGACGGATAGAGTGGATATCAGCATTTCTACGGCGTTTTTCCTGCGCTAGCATGCATGACACTGTGTATATTTATTTTCTTTCTCATCTTTGACATTTTTGGAAATGAATTTCAATTGACATACCTACGAATCAGTATTAAGTCAGCTGGCATTATGGATGGCAGCGGGCCGCTCATTGTCCATTTTGATATGTCTACAGAGCTGGTCTCTACGGTGGGATTCTTCTCGGGTGGTTTGAAGTCGAAATTCGTCGCTCTATTGAGTTTCTCTAGTCTGCTCTAATCCAAAATCTTCAGCGGGCCTAAGTTAAAATTTGAATCGCGAACCAAGACCGTGACTGCCAGATTGTGTAAACAGGAAAGGTGTTGCATCAGTCATTCGGAAATCAGTCAAGAACTTGTGAATGCACCAGACAGCAGTGACAAGAGAAACCGGAGACATCTCTAGCAGTCAAAGTAGACAATGCACTCAGACTCAACAGATTCTCCAAGACCGTAGAAGTTGGTGCTACTAGTGGGGTCCTCTCCTTCTATGTGAGTCTGTGTGGCGTACGCACCGTGGCAACCACTTCAAGTTGGAACATATATTTGTTAGTTTCTTCTGGCCAGCCCAAACTTCCAAATTCATTATTAAATCACTCACCTAAGCCCACTTCCACCACATGCCGCGCCCCATGAGAAGGTGTCGTCCAGTGAATCGGAGCCAAAAGTGATGAGGTCGGAACAGACCGATTTGTCACCGTCATAAGCGCCGATCTCGTTATCATCAGCATCGTAAAGCTTGAGGGAGCCACCGTTGGAGATAGTATTTCCACCGCTACCGAATCCTGCGGAGTTTGTAGAGTATTGGCCGACCGCAGAACACTGGGCCGCCATGGCAGAGGGTAGGCTGAGAGCTGCAAGCAGCATGGCAGGAATGGCACTGTGCATGAACATTTTGGTTGTAATGTCTTGTTGAATATTTCGAAAAGTCGAAGTGAGTTTTTATGGCCTTGAATGCTAATGAGAATGGATTGTGATGGATTGGAGAATTTAGGGTATAGAGTACGGCCTTTATAGACATTCCTGATCCAACCCCAGTCCTGTCTCTTCGGCAACTCCAAGTAAAGATGCACAGCATTCTGCTACACCCGATACCTTCAGAGGCTGTGGCCGAAATATTGAAGATCTATTCCAATTCCATCGTATTTGAATCGAATCCGTGTGCTCATCTTGCCCGCAGAAGAGGATACTTTGGTTTCATTCACTGCCCAGGTACGTTGGAATTGCATCATAGTCGGGGGCTGATATGGTCTTGGCTCAACAGTGATCTTGGCGCCAATGTCATGAGCCCTGTTGCACGGTCGTCAGTGTGAAACTAATCCCTCTGTTATACACATGAATAGAATTTCTTACCCCATGGGCAGAACTGCGGGCGAATTGCTTTTTCGCCCCCACAACGATCTACTCCACGGTGGGGCACGTTGTATTTTTTATCACCGATAAAAATCTTATACCCGATCCTTTGAGGGTCATTGGCGAGGCTAAATCCTGGAATGACCATACTTCATGCTCTCAGTGTTACCCCGGCTGATGGAGCAAGCCTCGACCTCTGGCGACGTCATATATGGCCGACTGGCACATTCCAACACCCTAGTAGAGTGGACCGCCCGATAAACATTTCTCACGTCTGCGAGACACTCTCACGTGTTGAAGAAGCACATTTCTCTGGAAAATATAGTAGTGAAGAATTAAATCGTATGGTATTGCTTCAGGAAATTCAATTCGGGTTGCAAGAAGTGACGGACAATATAATCGAAGGTTGCTTTTGGGTGGGTGGGTAGATTAAAGATCACTGATAATGATAATGAAGTTCAAAACAGAACTGATTTACGTATAGTGTGATTAAATCCGCTGATATTTAGCATTCAGGATAGGTCGCCCAAGCGGCTATTTTCCGAAACCACTTGGCTCTATGTAATTGCATCACTTAGCTCTTTTCGCTACCTACCTGGCCTCCGTCTATTTTTACAATACCATCTAGGGCTCTTCCAAGGCCCTTGTACTTCGTAGCCTCCCCTAGAATCCCTATTGCCTCCCACTTAGGCTATAACTAGCGAATAGCGGCCATTTTGTTAGCAAGCTCCTCTTTCCAGCCCCATCCAAGAGAAAATGCCGCTCCTGGTCCAATAGCCAGCGTAGCTCCGATGAATGAACCAGCAATCTTAAACCAAGAGAATCCAGCCCCAGCGGCTTTGAGCTCATGAAGTCTCAATCCAAGCCAAATAAAGCCACTGCCCATTGCAAAGATTTGGTCATATTGCAGGAATCGTGCGATCCCATCCATGAAAGAAGTAACGGGACACAAATGCCCATTCAAGCCAGGCCAGAAGATGGAAGACACCGAGCTATCAGCTGGCGCAGACCATATGGAGTGGATCCAGGTGAAGCCGGAAATAGCAGCAAAGCCAATGTACGCAATACGGACCCAGAGCAAATTTCTCCTGGTAGCCTTCGTCTTTGATTGGGTCGGATCCGCTGGGTTATTGGCCGTGGTAGCTGAGTAGCTCAGCAGACGGATGACTTTAGCGATCGCCGGCACAATAACAGGGAATGGCTGCCAAACCGCATTCCAAAACCGGCGGGACTCAACGGTCGCAGACGTGAAGCTCAAATATGTTGGTAAATAGAGCCCACCGAGGAGTGCAAGAATGAGGGAAATAGTATGTCGAGCTGCGATCTCATGGTCCCCGGATAGAAAATTCCCCAGTGGCGCTTGGAGGTACTCCAGAGTATAATACATGGGAGCCCAGATGCCGATTCCTTTGAGTTGAAAGGCAATGCCTGCAAGGATAGGACTTGGACAATATATTGTTAGCTTTTCCTCCCAAAAAGGACCAAATGTTACAGGTCAAATGCAGGAGGAAGGGGGTTCTTACAGCAGCGATGCGGAGAAGCAATGACGGTTGCGGTAGCTCTCCAGCATCCATATACCAAAGACTGGACCTAAGTCTGTTATGAAAGATCGCATCTGAATGCACGATACAGGATCTGTTCCGGTAATAGAAGGAAGAAAACAAAATATCAGCGGCTTGAAAAGCTGGTCCATGAATGGAATGTGGTATATAGGTCCGCGTAGGTCAACTGTCTCTCCGGTACTTGAAGTCCAAAAGCCGCCAACAAAGAAAGGAGCCATGAATGGTCTGACCTTGGTGATCAGGGGGGGGTCATTAGGGCACGCGCAGCTCCGAAGCATCCTATGAGTGGAATGCATAGTAAGTTTCTTTTCAAGAGGTCTGACTGGCGTATAGTCTCTGCATTGTTTCTGTATGGCATCTTTGCACGCAGAGATCTTTCCGGCAAGGCAACACAGTCGAGTTTCGCAGCGCCAACTATTTGTGCAGATGACTTGTCAAGCAAAAAGGACTGCAAATACGGCAAGAGATGCAATCCGATAATTCTGTCTTTGATAGTTGCACCCGCCTCAAGTCTAGTAAGATCGTTTGCAGAATTGGAAATCTCCGTGGCGCGCGGGCGACGAGACTCCTGCCAGGACTGAAGGCAATTATTGATATCCTCTGTTTTCGGGCAAGATGTGTGCTGAAGTAGGGTTGACAGATGATTAGAAAGTGTAGCGGCACTTTCAATTGCGCTGTTTCCCCCCTGACCTGCATTGGGCGTCATCTGTAGCGATGGTCAGCCGATTATGAATTGGTGTGCTTTTGCATGAATTCACAGCATGGAACGCACCTTGTGTATCGAATCACCCACGCAGACAAAGCGATCCTTGTGCCAGTGCTCATATTTGGCCTCTTCCAATGCCAGATGAGTTTTTACAAGAGCCTTTTCGTAGACTTCTTTGAAAGACACATTCCCGCTCAATGGCTTCTGCAAGAAGGGTGCAATGTGGTTATCTATATCCCGTGTATTGAAACGAGGAATTTCATGATTGTAGTACTTGCGGTCCATTTTGGTGAAGAGGAACCAATAGACACGACCGTTCTTGCTTGAGATAGTCAAAAATGAGTATTCTTTTCCGAATGTTCGGTGAATGTGGCCAGGAACAAGTCCAGTTGTTTCAGATGAAATACCGAAAACGCAATCGTACTCCGAAGTCATTGCTGTCAGACAATTAGTAATTGTAATTCGGAGAGGGAAAAAATGACAATTGTGAAAGCAAGAGTTGGTCCTTGTATCCCACACAGCCCACTGGGTTCTGACCTGTTCTGTCGACTTCCACTTCCCTGAAAAGACCTTTGGATATCATGTAGTCCCACATCCGCTGCCTCACGATGCTTCGAACACCATCGGCTCCCACAATCAAATCGCCCTGATAAGCAGATCCATCTTGACAGTGAGCTAATATGTGTTTCTCTAAGTGCTCCACATGGGTAACTCTTTTTCCCAGGAGCACTTTATCCTGAAAACTGTCCAGGTTGGAGGAGAGGATCTCTAGGAGGGTCTGGCGATCGAGAAAATTAATCGGATATCCATGTCTAAATGAGAAAAAACATTATTCAGTATGATGGTTCCCAGTACTAAAATTCAGCTGTCGAACGTAAAGTCGCGTACCTTTCTGCTATTATTTTTGGCGTGTCGGAGCTTGTAATCTGGCTACCAGAGTCTCTCCAAAACGAGGAATGTCGCAGAGGCTCAACAGCAGCGAGAACATCATCAAAAAGTCCCAGTTGGTCGAGAATTCGAGCACCGTTAGGAAGAATCCCAATAGACGCACCGACCTGAGGGGCGATCTCTTCATTGGCTTCCAGAATTGTGAAGTCAATCTTGTTTTTCCTAAGGCAGTGGGCAAGAGTAAGACCTGCGACGGAACCCCCCCACGATAATGACCCGAAAATTATCTTCTTTTCCTTCGGTCATTGTTCCAATGATTTCGATTCCTCGATTCAGTGATGAGGAAAGTGAATTTTCAAGAGTCAATCAAGTTTTTGTTCAGTTTCCTCGACGGGCAAGCCAAATATTTATCTACCAGTATAGATACAGATTTCGGATAGCACGGACTAAGGTAAACGACCGTACGGCACCATACCCACCCGTTGTCGAAGTAGAAAGACATAACCATTCATTATACCAGCAGTTTCCGTAAATCATGTGCATGGCTGGTGGCATTACTCCGTATGTGGGCTTGATTGCGAAATTAGGGCGGGACATGCCAGCGGAGACAAACCGGAGACGGCAACGCAACACACTGCAAGTTCGCACTAGGCTCCGCCATACTCTCAATCGAATGGTCCTTCGCTGACCCACCATGTCTTGTTTTGTTGATTTTGTTCTTCAAGACCCGGGCCGCGACATGAACCCACATTAACTAGCCAGTAAAGTACTATCCACTTGTTCTTTCAAGAAACCCGGGAAACCCGAGAAATCCGAAGACGCCGGCCGGTTTCATTCCAAGCCCCTTCCCGTCTTCCACCCCTAACTTAATACTCAAGTCAAGAAAAATTGAGAAATACAGTGAAACTGTTTAGTTTAGACGCAGAATCGCAGAGGCATTTCGAGTCCAGGCCGCTCTGAAGATTATCCGCATTTTGCGAGATGGAGCCTTTGACGGGTCGCGGACAAAGGGCAGCCGATCGGAAGAGAAGAGATCAAAAGCCCCGGGTATTATTTTCCTGCACGTCATGCAGAGAGAAAAAGTAAGTATTTGCGCCCAACCCTGACATCAAATGTGCTCTTACCCTAAAGAAACCCCTTTCGTTGTTTGCAATTGTGATGGTTAAATAATTATTGGCCGTTTTAGGATACGTTGCAATCGTCAAGTCCCCTGTGATAACTGCCAGAGGAGAGGGCTTGAAGTTAGCTGTAAATACAGCAAAACGAGAGATAGTTCGAATGAACACCATACTCCCCACAATGTTTATAGAGATGGATTACATGGTCTCCGCAATCGATTGCTTCGTCTTGAAGCCGCATTTGAAGATCGACCATCGCAACCACACATTACCACAGCCCATTCTATAGCGAGCAACTGTAATGAAAGAGCGGAAGGTGGTGATTCGATTCTTCATGCCACATGGGATCCTGAAATAATGCTTCCTGAAAGTTCTGGTACTCGATCTTTCAATCAAAATCACTGGCATGCAATCATGCAAAGTGCGGTAAGCAAGGCTTGCCATGCTTTTGTTCTCATTTGACTGGTGCTAACTACGCTTGTTGCTGGAGACAGATTTCGCACTTTCCAAAGCCACGCGATATTCACCGGAATGAAGATGAACCGTGGAAGAAAACGCATGCCCAGACTCCTATGCTTCTTCAGGGAATACCAAAAGAAACAATTGACGATCTTTTGCGAGAGTTACCCCCACGGAAAATCGCTGATGAACTTGTTTCACGTTGCTTGGACTCAGGTGAACCGTCACTGAGTAAGCTCATTTCTTTTATATAGATGTATCCCTTTCTGACTTTGTAACGTCATGTTTCTTAGTGATTGTCCACGTTCCAACGTTCAAACAGGAGGTAAGACTTCCTTGAGAAATCCATCCTCATTCACCATTCGAAATTTAGCAGCTAAAAAAAGATTCAGTGTATTTCCTTCTGGGAGAACCCATCCAAAGCATCTTGTGCTTGGCTGGCCCTTTTTTATGGGATTCTGGCTTGTGCAGTTTGGATTGAGCACTCCATGCATCCAGACACAGCCGAGGCACCACCACCAGAAATATTCAAGTACTACCACGAAAAATGTGCCGTCGCCCTCACACTCTCAAATTATTGTGCCCCCGGGAGATATAAGGTAGAGGCCGCTACAATTCATCTTGGAGTTGAATATCTCCAAAGTGATGGGTTGAAAACCGGTAGCTCTGTACTATTGAGCATGGTATCTCGACTGGCTATCATGATGGGCTACCACAGAGACCCTAGGATACCCCGGACTATCCCCCTTTGAGGGGGAAATGAGACGACGACAATGGCTCATTCTATCGTTGATCGATTATTTTGTTTCTTGGCAATCAGGTCTTCCAATCGTCATTCCGAAGGGAATAAGTGACACTGCCCCGCCTCGTATCCTTCTCGATCAGAATCTCGATGTCAACATGACTATTCTTCCACTCTCACAACCGGAGACCGAGACCCCGAACAAACTCACTTATGTTCTTGCCCAAGAGCGGTTGATGGTGGCAGCTAATCTAATTTCCGAGAGTCTAGAAGCCTGCACACGACTGGAAAAGACGATCAAATTGGAACAACAATTGGATGCAGCCTGGAACGACGTGCCTATTAATCTAAAGAGATCGATTGAATCGAGAGTCGACTGCGATACTATGATATGTATTCTCACACTTGAAATGACATACCAACGCGCCAGGTGCATCTTATACCGTCGATACTTGATCAATGGACACAATGAACCAAGCTTCGATCCCTTTCGCACTGAATGCATATCTGCAGCCCAGAAAGTCCTTTATTGTCAAACAGAACTATTCGAAGGGATTTTCTCCCAGCCTCAGTACAGTCACAAAGTGTGGTTTGGAATATCGCGCTCTATATGTGACTGCTTAACTGCGGCCATGGTGATATCCCTCGCGATATTAAACCGAGTGAAGAGAAGCCAAGTCATAGGAAACATACCTTCGGGGGAGCTTATTGAGACGCTAAACGCATCTTATACATCCTGGAAACAATGCCCGCGCTCGTCGCTTGAGACTATCAAAGCTGCCGACATCCTTAAAACAATGCTTTGCCTTATTGAAAGCAACACTGGTACCATGGACTGCATGAATGCAACAAATACCAATGCCAAAGAGCAAATCGAACAGGATCTCTGGTTGAACAGCAGTGAATACGCTCCGAACCAGGCTGCGAACTTCTATAGCCTCCTCCAGCCAACACAGAGTTTAGAAACATTACCACCCTTTTCAGGGTTTGACATGGTTGACTTTGTAAGACCACCATTTCACCCAAATTGTATAAGTATTTTTGAGAGCTAACAAAAAGCAAATGCCGAAGACTCTTTGGGACCAAGAAATGCAAAACTTGACTAGAATTTGGACTCAGGATGTGGCACCTGTGAACACAATCTAACAAAATAATTAGGAAGTTGTTTGCATATTCACCGAAATCGGCTATTTCAATCGGCATGGACATGGATGTGCATACTTCGTAGTATATGACGGATATTGCGGGTAAAGCGGGCAGATGAGTCAGCTAGCGGTTCTCGGAGGTGGGGAAATTGGGGAAACCCCACAATTCGTTAGTAACCACGCCGGTCCGAGGTACTCTCGGTCCCTTGTCAACATCTCCGACCTTCTTTCTTCTCTGTTTCCTTTTCTTCTCTCCCCTGCTCTACTCTGTTTGATTTATCCTCAACAATCGCCGTCTGCTACTCAGTAAAGTCATGCTTCGCACAATATCACGACGAGTTCCGCGCCAGCTACCTCAGCTCCCTCACGCCACCGCGCCATCTCGCCTGGCCCTGCGTGCCTTCACATGCGGTTATCCTCGGATGTCGCTCCCACCCGTCCAGCCCCCCAGTGTCAACGACACTCCCATCCGATTCATACCAGCTGCTTTCAACAGGAGACAAGGCCGGTGCTGCTGAAGATGCTCTATACGAACAACAGGTCCGCGATGTGCAGGAATGGTGGAACTCTCCTCGTTACGAGGGTATCAAGCGGCCCTACACGGCCGAGGATGTGGTGAGCAAGCGTGGATCGCTGCAGCAAACATACCCGAGCTCCCTGATGGCTCGCAAGTTGTTCAATCTGTTGAACGAGCGCGCCGCGGCGGGCGAACCGGTGCATACAAGTGAGTTGGAAGCCCTTACCAATGCGATCATATCAGTTGGACTAATCATTATATACACACGCAGTGGGCGCCATTGACCCTGTTCAAATGACCCAGCAGGCTCCTAATCAAGAGATCCTCTATATCTCCGGCTGGGCTTGCTCCTCCCTCCTCACTTCCACTAACGAGGTCTCCCCCGACTTCGGCGATTACCCCTACAACACCGTACCGAACCAGGTCCAACGATTATTCAAGGCGCAGTCAATGCACGATCGGAAGCAATGGGATACCCGACGAAAGCTCAGTGCCGAACAGCGCAAGGACACTCCCTATGTGGATTATATGCGACCGATTGTCGCAGACGGTGATACCGGGTACGTTTGGTCTACATGACTGAATAGTCAAGACCAATGACATGCTAACACTTTTCTAGGCACGGTGGTCTATCCGCTGTTCTCAAGCTCGCCAAACTCTTTGCCGAGAACGGTGCAGCAGCTGTTCACTTCGAGGACCAAATGCACGGTGGAAAGAAGTGTGGTCATCTCGCGGGCAAGGTCCTTGTTCCGATCGGCGAACACATTAACCGCCTCACCGCTGCTCGCTTCCAGTGGGACATGATGGGAACTGAGAACTTGGTCATCGCTCGTACCGACTCCGAGAGTGGTCGCTTGATCAGTAGCGCAATTGATGTGCGCGACCACGAATTCATCCTCGGCGTCGCGGAGGAGCTGGAACCCCTGGCGGAGACCCTGCAGGCGATGGAACGTGAGGGCGCCTCGCCAGCTGATATCGATGCGTTTGAGCTTGCTTGGGTCAAGAAGCACAAGCTTGTGACTCTTGACGAGGGTATGAATCACCAAATCTGACTCTATTAGCTCTTGCTAACAAAATTCAGCCGTCGATGCCCATCTCGAGGCCGAAGGTGCCCCCCAATCCTCCCGAGACGCCTACAAGAGCTATGTCCAGAAGAACCCCGATCTCTCGTTCTCCCGCCGTCGTGCTCTCGCCAATGACTACTCCAAGACCCCGGTTGTATGGTCTTGCGACAGCCCACGAACCCGCGAAGGATTCTACCACTACAATGCCGGATTCCCCGCCGCGACTAAGCGCGCCAAGGAGTTCGCTCCCTTCGCCGATCTACTCTGGGTCGAGACTGGCGACCCCGACGTTGCAAAGGCCGGCTCGCTTGCCGGAGAAGTGCGCGCCGCGTACCCGGGCAAGAAGCTCGTATACAACCTTAGCCCATCGTTCAACTGGATGGGCCAGGGATTCACTGAAGAAACCCTGAAGTCATTTATCTGGGACCTTGCCAAGCACGGGTAAGTATCAATGACATCAAATTCTTAGGATCGCCAACTAACCAACAATTCTAGCTTCGTTCTGCAATTGATCTCGCTCGCCGGTTTGCACACCAATGCGACCATCACCACTGAGCTGTCCCGCGCGTTCAAGGAGGAGGGTATGCTGGCATACGTCCGTCTAGTTCAAGCGCGTGAGAAGGAGCTCGGCGTCGATGTTCTCACTCACCAAAAGTGGAGCGGTGCCCCTTACATGGATGGTATCCTGGGTGCTATCCAGAGTGGAAGCAGCAGCAGCAAGAGTATGGGTGAGGGTAACACTGAGAAGGGTATGTCCTCTGTCTGCAGCTTTCTTGAAACCAATACTGATTTTTCTCCCAGGTTTCTAATTTACGTCTGCAAAAATCTCGATGTGCGTTTTGCGTGAGAAAGCGATTGTGATTGTTAGTTTCTTTTATCGTTTCCATGTCTAGAAGCCAATTAGAATTCGATTTATGACTTTTCCTTGAGATCATTCCAAGCTTTCGATGGCTGCGTCGCTTCACGGCATTAAAATAATGTTTTAAACTATGTCACGTGCTAAAGAGATGGGATTTAACTTGAAGTGCTTTTAGTCCGGGAGGATCATAATGAGCCGCATTTATTACAAACGCAACGAACTAAGCAAAATATTCCAACCGCATACTAGGCTCCAATCTCTTACTGTTGCCTAGAACATTTCTTGGGAACTCGGAGTTCCGGGTTGGTTCTGCACTTGAGGCTGTGAGCCAATCAGTTGAACTTGGATGGAGCCATGGGAAGCATAAATGCCTGTGGTAACCCGGCATATCAAGTAGCGATTTTATTTTCATTCCAAGGTTCTTCTACGCCTGGGCGCATATCCTTAATCAAATCCATTCGCGATGACCATCAATCATATCTTTGTTTGGGCCTCTGCGGCCAAGGCACAAAGCTTGCAGGCCTTCTATCGTACCATCCTCAAACCGGTCGGTTACAGTGAGCTGATCCGGGTCAATGACGGCAACTTGGTCGGTTATGGTAGTGACTACCCATATCTCTGGTTGAAAACACTGCCTGCCGAGAAGTCTCCCTTGGCTACTCACATAGCATTTGATGCACCGAGTGAGTTTCTCTCCAAGAACTTTATCCAGCGGAACACTAATATTTTGGGAAAGGCAATGAAGCTGTTGATGAGTTTTATCGATTGGCATTGTGAGTATTAAGTTATTCCTAAGATTCCAGAACTTTGGAATCCCCTTGATCTATTGTTTATTAACTATTCGAAAGGGAGCACGGAGGTCGAGATAATGGAGGACCTGGTATACGGAAGGAGATGAGTCGTCAACCATACTACTCGGCTTTCATCATCGACTTGGACGGGAATAATGTTGAAGCTGTCTGCGTTCGAAAATAAAATCTAGTTATTTCCCTACTACAACGAGCCTGAAAATGTGCTATAAGGTGCAATGAAGAGCCATCAAGGTGTATTGACACTGGGAAAAGGCTAAAAACACAAACAGGAGATACAATTCCCATTTAATCCGAGAGAAAGAAACTTGATTCAACTCCGCAACTTTAATTCGCATATTATTACCTAGGTACTACGACAGAACAGCTTTTAATTACCTAGGTATAGGCGAAGTACTTAAGTAGAATGTATCTAATCCATGAACCTACGAGAGAAAATAGACGAAATTAGGTTGCAGAAAATAGTATTTCTATCTTCTGGGTTTTTTCTTTTTCTGGATTTTTTTTTGGACTTTTGACTTTTTCAAAAAAGAGCAAAGATTGACCTCGCGACCCTATTCCTGAGCAATATCTCCAACTAGCATCATTCTTCCCCTGAAAGGGCAAAGAGTAAATATCCGAAGCAAACATAATGTTGTCGTGGTCATACTCATAATATTCCAAAGTAAGCAGCTATCATGCGAATTGTAAATATCCCCAACTATTTCTTCTCACTACCCGATGTAGGGCTTTTGCTGCTGGCGGGTGTTCCCTGGCCCTTGAAGGACTGTTCGCTCGAGTAGCTGATAAAAGATGCGGACTCCGACTTCACGTTTCGATCACCAGCACTTTGTGCGCGAGCTGCGAATCCGCCGGAGGACATATCACCCCCAGACTTTGCCTAGGAGAATTTTTAAAAAGATATCATACATTTTTGATACCTAGAACGAGTAACGTACCTGGCTAGATTGAATGCGGGCAGCATCTGACTTGGATGTGTAGTTACGACACATTTTGACGATAAGTAGGAGTTGGCTTTGATAGTTAGGTCGTCTTAGTTGGATGGAGGTTCTGTAATCCGGAGATCAGGTTCCAAGGTTTGAAAATTAGAGATGTAGAGATGAGATCGAGAGTGGTTGAAGAGGAAAGAAAGATTTCTTAGAGATGAAGGCATGAAGCACATATTTATGCAATTCTAATTGGCAAGCCTAAAGCCTTATCAAACGGATTTCTCCCGGAGTTTGCCCCCCGAAAACGTTTCAATTACAAACAGACTAGCTGAGTGATAAAGACGAGAAAGAAAAAGTTACATCTTACATGACGAAAAAACTACCTCAATTCAAGGGTACGAATATTGACCACAGCCCAGAGGACGGTTCCTTGAATATTTTTGTTTACGGTCACAACTTAAGTGATTCAATAACCCGTTTACGATACCACTGCCCTATTGGTAGTATCTTAAATTCAGACAGATATTCCTTATATAACAGCTTCATGGGATTATATTATCTATTCATAGATGCAGCGTTCACTGTCATGCGTCTCGGTAAGTATCAGATTGGAAGTCTGAGAAGCATATCTGGCTGTGCAATTCTTAGATGCAAATATTCCAAAACCAAAGATATCGACGGATTTCGCGAGTAGCTTGACACAAATTTGACAATGAAATTGAGCAAATGGTTGGGTAGATACCTAGGTACCCGTCATCAAATTGATATTATACTACTGGGGCAGATATCAACCTTGGCCCTTCTTTCTGTCACGGATCCGATGCTTCAAGCCGGAAGGGTAGTCTGGGAAGCTACAAAATTCCCCAAGACCAATATTTTGGTTACGGAGTGCTAGGCAGCCGTCCATAGCTTCCTTCTTCACCTTCTTACACCACTCTCTCTCTCTCTCTCTCTCTCTCTTTCGCAGCACTGAATACACTTCCACCATTACGCGTACACTCCGAACACAGAGACTGAAATGTTAGCCCTTCAACCCAAAATACCACCATATCATACTCTAGCCTAAATTGACGCACATTTCGTTTCGACTCCTGCTGTCAATTTATGGAAGTGGGGTTATACTTTCCATTCTCCGGTCCGCCTTGGCACGTCTATATTGATCCTGCAATCCCACTCGCTGATCGAGTCATTTTTCCGATCGCGTCTTGCCTCGATGGTCAGCCTTGCGATCTCACAAAATCGGTTACCAGGGGTTCAATATCTCCGACTGTGATGTCACCTCGTGGCGTGTGGCCCGGACCGCTCCCGAACTCCGTTTCGACGGTGATACCTACCAATGTCACCAGCCTGGGGATTTTCTTACTGGTACATGAGATAAATTGGTTGAAAGATGGCCTGTGTCTAGTCTATCCAACCCGGCGATGCATCACCTTGGAGAAAAGGACTCTATTTCCCCCGAGAATAAGGAGTACGACTCTCCATAATGCCTGGCCTGTCGTGCCTCCACGCTTCCTTTTGGTAGCTCCTCGCGATTATTCATGCGATGCATCTCAGGCCACCCGAGATCAGCAACCTGTCAGGTATACCCGCTCATGGAATGGTAGGCAAGTGGGTCAATTGAGTTGCTGGGTCGTGGACGCGGGATCGACTATCCCCGCCGGCAGCCCGCAAGGGGGGAGGGGACGAACGACATGATAACGTCTGGTCGGTGATTTACGACGAAGACATTGTTAATGGGTCTTGAAATGACAGTTTATATCCATATTCCCCTTCTCCTCGCAAATTCTCGACCTTTCCTTCGGCAATACCACGAATGCTCAAGAGAGCAGTTGATACCTTCGAATTCAATATACGAGCAACGCAGATCGAAGAAAAACATGGACCCATAGTAAATCTTGTGTTACTTTGATCCTGACCAAAATACTGAACCACGGGTCTGACTCCACCCCGGGATTAGCAAAACAACAACAACACCTACCCGAGGCTTCGGGTCATTTGAAAAGAGGCGCAAGGAGGCTACCGAGCAACCAGCTTGCATCTTGTAGCCCATTCGTCGTCTAAAAGGCAAAGAAAAAAAGCAAAGATGAAACTAACCATAAAGTAGCAGGGGTTTGCATGTGGTCACCCGCCATACTATTCGACGTGTGAAATTTTATCGGGGGGGTTTGTGGTCCGTGGCGGTTGGTAGTCAACTTGGGTACCGCCCGGCTGGGACTGCAAGAGGCGTGGGTGGACAAAATAGCACAGAGAACTCGGGTGAGAATCAGCTGCACTCGGACCAAAAGAGTATTCTGTGGCACAGACCCTCTGCGATGAAGAGCCAAAAAGTACGGAGAACTACAATGGTTATTGTTTAAGCTCATAATGATGGGCATGGAAAATAATGCGTTATCAATACCCGCGGGTAACTATTCCGCAGTCAACTCTGACTAAAGGGGTATTTTTGAGGGGTAAGAAAACCGGGGGGATTGTATAGATATCTTTCAATCTCACGGAAGACTTGCGCAGATGGCTACCTGTGGCGTGGAAATGATTTCCGTCCAACTTGGGGAGAGTTCATTGGTAGTTAGCCTTTCGTACAGAATCTAGAAGCGACAGCCGTGTAAGATAGATCAAAAATTACGATGCCCTGCAGTACCCGACAGTCTGGATACAAACCTTGGAACCCAGAAGCCCCCTCCACGCTGGCAAGCGAGTCTCTTGCAACGGAAGGAGGAGACCGGATTTATTTATTCTGCATGCTCCTCCGGGTTTTGTTTCCCCTACAATTTTTTTTTATCTCTTCCGAGTCCATCACAATGACTTCGACTCTGCAGAATACCCCCTTCGTGCCCTCTGGGCCCTCCGAGTCTGGGCAAGCCCCATCGGCACACCAAACCACTAGCGCTCAATCCCCTGTCGACACGCACAGTCCAATCACGGCCGATAATTTTGACGACGTATGTCAATCCCGAGTGCAAGGCCGGCTCATTATTTCCAGGGCATTACTAATATTTTGACATTTTGTAGGATACAAACAGTGAATTCGATGATGCGCTCTCCGATCTCACGTCCCTTTCTTCAAGCGTGCTCGATTTTGAATATGAAAATGGTAGGCGGTACTGCAGTACCCGCTCAACAGTAAGTGAACTTCCTCAACCCCCGTATGCGTATTACGATTCAATACTAAATTGATCTGCGATTAGAGTACTTATATGTAATTTCAACCTCTCTTCTGGGGGGTTGTGGATGTGAAGAGTGATTTAATGACATTATTATAGGATGCCTAATGACGAGGAGGAACAAGATCGAATGGATCTGGTAAGGCACCATCAAACTCAAAAGGTATATGTGTTCATACGCTAATACGTTCTTCAGACACACCACATGTTCGTGAAGTAACACCTATCTGCTGAGCGACAATGGCTAACAAAAAGGGCACAGATGGCTGATGATGTTGGGAGGAGAGCTCTACAATGCACCCATCACATCATCACCACAGAACATTCTTGATCTCGGAACCGGAACGGGTATTTGGGCGTTGGACATTGCCGAGTACGTGAATGCCTCTTGGTCTGTCCTTGGGTATCAGTGAGATTGACCCCGTTTGATAGAAAATTCCCCAGTGCCCATGTGATTGGAAACGACGTCAGCCCCATCCAACCAAGTTGGGTGGCCCCAAATATTGAGTTCATCGTGGATGATTTCGAAAGGGAATGGCAGTTCGAAGAAAACCACTTTGACTTTATCCATGCAAGATGTCTAGCAGGGTATGCTTTAGCCACCTCCTACCTCAACCAAAGCAACGCTCTAACACTACGAACAGATGCGTAGCGGACTGGCCAGGGTTTATCCGTCGGATCTTCGATCACGTCAAACCCGGCGGCTACTTTGAATCACACGAAAGTGCTGTGTGGGCCCGGAGTGACGATGGCTCTCTTAGGCCAGACTCCGCCATCATGGAATGGCAGCAAGCAGTCAATCTGGCGGGCGATTTAAGCGGTCGCGAGCTAAACATCTACCATAAGCTGAAAGGCTGGATGATTGATGCCGGCTTTGAGGATGTCACCTTAAAGGTATACGCCCTGCCATTCTCACCGTGGCCGAAGGAACCGTTTCTCAAGACTCTGGGCAAGTATCAGGCAGTGCAGTTACAGCAAGCTATCGACTCTTATTCACTGCGTCTGTACACACAAGTGCTGGGTTGGGGTGCGGATGCCGCTAAGATTCATAATGCTGTGGTCAAGCAAGAGCTACGCGATAAGAAGCTGCATGCCTATGTTCAAACGTATGATCCATGCCACCCTCTTCTATTATCCGAACACTCGTACTAACTATGAGCAGAGTTGCCGTCTATGGGAGAAAGCCTTCTCGCTGGTAATTTTTTTTTTTTTTGGAAATGACCAAAGAAAAAGAAAACCAAAAATACACCTGGGCATTGGCCCCAGGTGGCATGTCTGTGACAGGATACTTAGTCCTTCCTTTCAATGACCCAATGAATCTCTTACCACGCCTGTCTGTGTCTGTTCCGCAATTACCTTAGTGCGAATTAGACGATTTCTTTTGTATTTGAGAAATTTTAGCGAAGTACTGTGATCTAGACCGTTTAATTAACGACTTTATTTATTTGCAGGGTAGCATGTTACCATGAGCTTACGGTTGAACATCAGCCCTCGGTATTAGTACGTAGGCGAGGGTAAAATAAGCCGATGCTTCATTGTCCTAATTGGTGATGCGCAGTTGGTCATCCTAAACTTGCCCCTCGCAGGTGGACGGACCTTCAAGCCGACAGGCACAGGTCCACCACCACAACACGGCAAAACGGCACAAGAAATTAGATCTGTGAATTTATCCAACTTTCATTCATCGATGAGGCGGCAACTGCGAAATAAGGTTAGATTTAACTCTTCGAGCGGCTATTCGACGTTTGTCTATCGTGGGATTTTTTCTAATTTGACATTCTGGTGGGGGAATAATCTGCTGTGTGGACCCTACTGCATTCGTATTGGACCCATACCCGACGCCGATATGCAAAACACACCGCAACATGGCAATGAAGCTGAAAATTCCAAGACAAGACTTGAAGAGCTTGTGCAAAAAAAAAAAAAAAGAAAAAAAAAAAAGAAAACAAATACACAGGCTACTCAAGGCGGCCAATAGAAGCAGCTTTCCTGCCAATATTTGTCCTGCATTGTCGATTGAAAACAAGGAAAACTGACGTAGAAAAATAACAAAAAAAACGTATATGAAATCCATCCATCTTTCTGGTATCCGATACTACCAAACATACCCGTAGGAGAGATTCCTGGCTAAAAGGTTGCCGGCCCGTTTAGCCGGCTACTCTGTTGACATTCCGGGCGATTGATATCTCCTCCTTTCTTTAGATAGCGTCAGATGCCCGTTGATGAACCGCCAAATACCATTACTCCTACTATTTTATTACTGTTATTACCTAGGTATATAGAAAAGCCTCTCTAGATCAGACTCAATTGCGAAACTTATATCCAGTCAAAAGCGACACGATTATCATACAGCTGTCCCGAGGTCTTGGATATCCATTCTCCCGAATCTCGATTATCCCTAGATGGTTGTTGTAAATCAGTGAGTCGGATGAATCCAGTCTTCGGTGCATTCCAGATTTCGTCGCTATCCGGCATGCAAAAATCCATGTCCGTCAAATTTAACAGGTTGCTTTTCAAGACACTACCACCTTTTTCAATAGTGCCGCCCCCGTCACGAGAGCAAAGTCTGCACAGCTTATAAAGAGCGAGTCCGAAACGCTTTATTTCCTGCACACTCACCCAGAGAAGTACAGGCGGTGCAGAAGTATGATGTCGCAAGAGCATATTGGGATTGTGAAACAGGCCGGCCCGCCGGCATGTCTCCACGAGCGATGAGAGTAATTCGTATTTTTGCGCCGGTATTTGAAAACGGAGGCCGAGGTCAAAAGCGGCCTCCTTTTTAGCCACAAAAACAGCAAATATAAGCTGTAAAAGAATAGCTTGGTAGGTTGCCATGGGCCAGGGTGTTGTTTCCTTGTCCTGGTGTGGCGTACTAGTAGATTTCGAAATACACCACTGTGACTGCATGGGTAAGGTTAGCAACGAATCCAAGCGTTTAATATCAAACTAGAAGTCCCTACTCTTTGAGCTTCAATCGAAGCAAGTAGTTTGAGATGGAAAGACATCGCCTTATTTCGTGATTCCTCGTCGCCTTTGATCCACAACCCAATCATCACCATAGATTGGAGAAGCACACACGGTTCGTTCGGGATGTCGATTGTCCCAGGATGCAAAAACGGCCAATTGGGATGGAAGTCGCGAAAATAGATATCAATGAAGTCTTGACCGACCCAGCGAGTTATTCCAGGTACCGAGCCTACCAAGTTCGTGCTGATGAATTCAGTCTCTTCAGGTTGGACTGTGGGCTTGTCATGAATCGTCTCCTGGTGAGTTCTTGAACAGACAATCCCCCTTTTTTGACATCGCTTGCAGGGAGATTCAGAATCGCAGCGTACTTTTCTCGCATTGCAAGCTCTACAGGCTTTTTGCACCCGCGCAACCGGCGGCTCTCTCCCTGGGTGGTAGTTCCGAACATGTCGACGTAAAAGATCGCTAAGTGAGAGTTAGTCCCCGCACTCTCATACACTTCTCACGAGAACAGTCATGGTACATTCCTCCTCATTAACGCACTATCACAGTAGGGACATTGAAAGCGGTCTCCTCGGTCATGAAGTGCCATGTGTCTATTCAAGTGCTCTTTCCGTTGGTAGGTAGCTTTGCATCCTGGAAAGTTACATTTGAAAGAAGGCAAATCGGATTGAGAATATGGGCGTGACGCCATCTGTTCGCATTTGATTTTTCTGTTTCTCTATAATATGTCAGATAACGAAGAGGAAGAGAAAGAATACGGCGAAGACGAAGAGAAAATCCCGAGCGGGATTCAGCCAAGCGTGGGTAGAAAGTCACGTTTCTTTTCTACCCCTGTATGCCCGATGCCCGAGTGGCAAGATTCCTGGTATGCGGCAGATTTACTAAGCCCACCTGGGCGTAGCCGGCATCCCACTCGGTCAATCCCGCCTGGTAAAACTATATGAGAAAAAATGAATATAAATTCAGGATTTTGATATCGAACATCTTTTTCGCCAAATAAACGAGGTTTTTGGTTTTTGGGGGGGGATGAAAAGAACCCAATGCCTGCTTGTTTGACTGTTCATTGTTGCCAAAGACCGTTCTTCATCCACTCCAATCCATCAGACATGTCTATCAATGACTATGCTTTATTTCACTATTTGATGTTCAATATTACCAGCTCTGGCGAGAGACCTGCAACCACTCCGTTTTCTGAGAAAAAGCTTTATTGGCACTTGATTGAATATGCAAGTGGGTGGTTTTACTAAGAAATTAATTTACATGAAGGCTCGGTGGTACTTAGATGATGGCTAGACACCGTACCTCGAACTCTCGCATAGGAACTACTAGTACCAAGTACTAGTAGTCCTCGAAACTGAAATTGTAAAAAGCAAAATATTATCCTTCTACATTCAATACTAGAGATTTATTCTACAGCTTCTGACACATTTTGCATGCCCACCTGGGCAGGTTGTAAGTATGCACGAAAGGAGTAACCAGTAAAGTTGAGTAACCTGTGGTCGCTCGTAATGCTGCACGCAGCGCAGGAAGTTTGGCCGATTGTTGAAACAGTATTCACTATAGCTATCGCGATAAATGGTTTTTAACCTCAGCCGAGGATTTTTGATTACTATGGTACTCCGCGTAAGCTCAATATTACGAGATGTAGGAGGGATGCCGACAAGCGGGATGCCGGGCGGGATGCCGAAAGTTCAAACCTAAGCTTATTCAGGGATAGAAGTTTGCAATTGTCATGTTTTGTCATTTATATGATTCCTTAGTACATTTCCGATTTTTCATCAATATTTGCCATATGCTGGGAGAAACTTGGAATATAAAAGAGTCTCCTAGAGACTGGTTGATTCACTTGATCATACAAAATTTCAAACTTCAACCGTGTTCTTTACTGAACACGCCTAAATCTCAACAATTGTCTTCACAAACTATCAAATCCTTTTCAAGAATTTCTTATTCACCATGGCTCCTACGCTCGACATCACTCATATTGGCACTGCCACTGCGATCCTGACTATCAACGGAGTGAACTTCCTAACGGATCCCTTCTCTTTTCCCTGCCGGAACTAGTTGGGACGCTGGCCGCATTGTTCTGAAAGTGACAGAAGATCCCGCTCTGCGTCTTGACCAACTTCCTATCATTGATGCTGTGCTCTTGAGCCACGAAGATCACCCGGACAACTTAGATGAGCTTGGTCGCCTGCTCCTAGACGGGCGCCGAGTCTTCACCACCGTCGATGGAGGCAAGAACCTCGCACCACGTCCAGCTGTTCATGGCATGAAGCCATGGGAGGAGATCGAGAGCAAGATCGGAGGGAAATCCTTCAAGATAATGGCTACTCCGACCCAGCACGTCCCAGGAAACGAATGTACCGGCTTTATCGTGACCGGTGAAGACTTCGGGCATGGCCGTGATGGTCTCCCCAACGCAATCTACTTTACTGGTGATACTGTCTACATCGAAGAGTTGGACTCAATTGCAGACCGATTTCACATCGTTGCCGCCGTGATGAACCTGGGTAATGCACATGCCCCCATCTCAGAAGACCCCAATGCCCCCCCTTATGCAAATAACCATGGGCGGCAAGGATGGGGCCACACTCTTTCGCGCTATCAAAGCCGACGTGCTCGTTCCGATGCACTATGAATCTTGGGGACATTTCACCCAGTTTGGTGCTGAGCTGCGCCAGGCTTTTGAGGACGAAGGTATCAGTGATAAGATCTGCTGGCTGAAGGGCGGCGAGAATATCACCGTTCTCTAGGGCTCCTGGGCGATGTATCTGGCATCTCTTTATTGTATCTACTTTTAGATGTATTATTGCATATTCTTAAAATGACCGAAAAGTGTGAAAAATTCATCTAGAATTCAAATTGAGAACACTATCATTTCCTGAGGGAGATTTGACTTGCGAAAGATCCCATCATGAATCGAGTTGTGACGTAGCATTTCTGTTTTCCGCGCCGAAGATGCTAGAAGCTTTAAATTTTACATATTCACAAGCCATTTCCAAGGTTTTAACAGTACAATACGTCCTTTATCTGCATGCTACGCGTATTAATCTCAAAGTTATCCATTTGGGGTGCCATATACTTCACACCGGAGCATGACTAAGCGCACGTGACCGAAGTATCGGAGCTTCGGGTTGACGGCGCCTCTCACACCCGCCCTTCTCTCGATCGATTTGAGGCATTGCATTGCATTCATACTCGCCATTCACAACCATGGGTGCTGGTAGTTCCAAGCCCGACGCTGCGGGCGGCTCGAAGCATGTCTTCTCCAGGTAAATTGCCCCGAAAGTGCGGAAACCCGCCTCGATCTTGCGGTGGGCGCGGAACCGCTCGATCATATCATGGAGGAGTCAATGATCAGCCATTCCGAGGATGGCACCACAGACAGACCTTTGCAAGGCGACCGTTCATATGAGAGAACAAACAATGGCTAACCCTTCGCTTCCTTCTAGCAACTCCCCTGTCCAATTCTCCTCCAACCTAGTCGAGGCCCTCCAGTCCACCTCCGAGGTTCGTTCCAACCCCAATTCAACGACCGGCAGACAAAATCCGGGCACCAGCATTGGACCAAAACATTAGAATGAAGAAAGGAAAAAAAGCTCACCCTCGAAATCATCAAACAGACGGACTCCTCCCGCGCAAAGGCAATTGAACTCGAGATCCAAAACCGCGTCTCGCAAGAACTCCAGCGCCTCCGCGAACGCGAGCAGCAAACCCTCGCCGAGATCGAAAAGCGCCTCGCCTCGTCAAAAGAAACCGGCTCCCTCCCCGTCTCAGCCGCCACCGCCCCTGCCGTCGCCCCCTCCAGCACCGGTTACCCCGTCGGCTCATTGAACCTCGATGCGCCTCGCATTCCCTTCGCCGGCCGCGAATACGAGACCCCGGCGCCCGTAGCCGCCCCCGTTGAGAACGTCCAGCAGCAGGAGCTGAACCGCGGTATCTCGCGCGACTCTGTGAACGCTGATATCGAGGCGCTCCGCACTCGTCTCGATGGCCGCAGGAAGCTGGCTGATCTGGACGAGGGTGTTTCCAAGGCCCAGTCTGCTGTTATTGGTTGTCTGCGATTGAATGATCGCCGGCCGTTGGATTGCTGGCAGGAGGTTGATGCTTTTAAGAAGGAGGTTGCACGTATGGAGGCTGCATTTGTGGATCGCATCGTCGGTTAGATAGAGTGCTCCATTGTGATAGATGTCGGCGGCGTCAGGTCGCGGCTTGGTTTGGCTTGATGTGCCATGTCCGATCTTTGGAAGCACTTTTTGTCTTACGGCAGGATTCAGTGTGGCTGCTGTACTGTATGTATAGATCGTCTTTTTTTTATTGTTTGCCATGAATCTGCATAAGATTGAATTATCCTTCTAAATGAGCTACTGGACTCGTTTTGTAGTTCATTAAACTTTTTTTATGTTTCATTCAAACTTCGTCAATTCTTTCGATGGCATAGTCACAGGGTATCAATTAACTACTACTCAATTAGACAATCTCCCAGGTTGCTAATCGGCCGACCTTCTCTCCGGCAGATCGAACGATGCAAAGCTTCTTTTCTGAGAGCTTGGCATTGGATTCGGCGACCTTTGACAATAGAATTGAGGCAATGCCAGTTCCCTTGCCTTCGGATAAGTTGTAGTTGCCTGTGGTGACAAACCCGATAAGATCATCTGCTGTGGGAATCTCTGGATGATTCAACGGGGAGTCTTCAGGTACGGCGGCGATAAGTGACTCGGTAAGTTGGCGCCGGGCTGCGTCGTCAGAAACATCAGAGGGCTTGCGGGATCCGACTTTCCCTCCACCAGATTTCTGGGCTGCTAAAGCCAATTGCAACCATTTTTGCCGGAGCGTAGGGTTTGTAGGTAGACGGTAAATTCGCGAGCAGGGAGTGGGAGTGCCGCGGTGAATTAGCGAGACATGTACGGTAGAGAGGGCCGCGGATGCAGTTTGTAGTTTGGTGAGGTTTGAAAGGATTTTGTTGGTGTCTTTTGTAGCAAATTGGAGATTGTGAAGGTCGCATGGCGGGATGCTGGCACATGGCACATCGGGCTTGACTCTGTCAGCCTCTATGCTGAGGGAAGTGGCGTTTTCAGTGACATTTTGACCTGGACCTTGAACAAGTTTCTCCCAATCGCAGGTCCAGCCACGTCCAATCTCCCCCTTTGGGTGCCCATCGCCCAGAACAAGACTGTCATATTCAACACGTCGGCCTTTGGGTCGTCGTTCCCACTCCTGTCGAGATTTCTCGGCTTCGTTCTGATTCCATTCCCACCCTGCCCGGGTACCGGGAAAATCGCCCGGGAACCATGCTTCGCCCGCTTCAAAGGCAAGCTGTTGCTGTTGCTTTACACCTCCGAATCGTGGAATGCCTCCACTTGAGAGTGGGTAGTACATGAGGGAGTACCACACCGGGGGCACGCATTTCCAAGGCAGAAGCACAGTCCACGATCCGGGTGCGGAGTTTCGCTTCAGATGAGTTCGTGACCGGTTTGCAAGTATGATTGCTGGAATCTGTGGGTCTGTCGACTTTGGGGCAGGGTACTTCCCGGGACCCGAGAGAGTACGGCGACGATTTATCGCCTTCTGGCTGGGGAGTTGACGAGCAGCTTTTAGGCGACTAGGGCGATCAAACATTGAAGAAGGTCCCTGTGTCTGGTCTGGCGACCACTTGGAAAGTAGGACGGCGAGATCATTCATATGAGATTCGCTGTCTGGAATATCGAGCTTTCGGGGAGGGAACTCAAGTCGGGGGTCGGAAATATTGAAAGACAAGAGGGCGTTTTGTGGCAATGATGAAGGATTCGATACTCCCAATAGGGCGAGCCAGATTGCCTCTGGGCTCTGTGGGGCTGGAAGCTGACTATCGGGCCCTTTGGAAGGTCGCAAAGCAGCAATTAATGCTTCCGTAGAGCCCGGACCAGTAATCTCAATGCTTCCGATTTCGAATCTGAGATCCTCAACCATAACGGGCGGACTCTGACGCTTTGATGCCTCGAGCAGATCATTCCAAAGTTGCAGGAAGGCAGAGGGATGAACGCGAACCCAAAGCTTTCGTCGAGTGATCTTGGGAACAGATGAACTCTCATGGGCGTTGGCCATTACCACATCTTCCAATTTTGGAAGAGCGCACCAGATCATGGTGACTGGTGCAGTTGGCCTCGTGGGGTGATTCATCTCAAAGGCCCAGGCTTCATGTGATCTCGTACCAGTTTTCCACTTCTTTAATTTGGGGCCCGATTCCTTTGTACTATTGATACCAACAGCGAGAAGTACAGCCTCAATTGAACTCTCCGACCCTTCAAGCTGTATCGTAGACATATAGCTCATGTCCCACGCCATGGCACCTCGAGCACCGCGTGTCCTGTGTGTGGGCCGATAGCTCTTCTCGGTAGGCGACAAGGGAATGGCGAATCGCCATAGGGGGTTCTTCGTCGTCGTGACATGAGCCCGTTTCGCATGGAACAAGTGGGTAGGAAGCCATGTTTTGCACTGTTGGCGCTTGCGGAATTTTGCGTCGGCGGGCGGAGGTCTCGAGAGTTTGTTCTTTTTGATTTTGGGGATCCGCGGCGCGATGTTGAATTGATGACTACCTTCTTCCGTCAATTTGGTGGTGGAATCTTTATCTCGAACATTCTTCGCAGCGAGGCGTTTGTTCTTCGTTCTGGCATTGAGGTTTTGCAGGCGTCGGGCAGATTCAAGACGGATGCGCATGATCTGCGTTGGTTTGCGTCTTCTAGCGGTGACGGTCGGGGTATTATCTTCGATCATCTATTTCACCGGAACACAATCGCATGGTCAGTTACCAGCCAGCTATAGCCGTAAATGGAGCTGTAACATACCTCACGCTTCGCCCGCGCCCTCAACCTCTGTGGGACCCGCTTCACATTGTGACTTGCCGTTCGACGTCGTAGGGCGCGGGGGACTTTTTGAAAAGCCCGCGTTGTCAAGGCAGTTTTTGATCGCTGAATTCCGTCCTCTAAGGCTTGGATCTCGAATGCTCGTGCGGAGGCATACGCGGCGACATCGAGTTCGCCCGTTGCGGAGAGGGCGGCATCGGTTGATTGCACGGCGAGTTGGCGCGCATCGAAGGTTTTGGCACGTCGAGCTGCGCCTCCCGTTGGGCCATAGGGCCCTGAGGCAGTTTCCTTCCTCTTTCCGGGATTGGAGGCCATCTGGTGAGCAGCTTGGATGTTGCGAAAGAATGGTTGAGCGTTGAGAATCAAAAAAAGTTGCCGGGGCTTGGCGCGTCATCGGCCCGGCCTTATCTGCTAATACCTGACTACATAACTAATGCTAAATTGTAGTTATATAGTATCTATTACTCTATGTACTATATCTACAATGAAACTGAATACTCCAGAGCATTGTAATTCCAATTCATTTATTGCCAGCTTGTTTTAAAAATAAGAAAACAAAAAAAGGTATTTCTAGGTGGGAAGAATACTAATTGATACCGGTAGCGACTAGTTCGCGAGTCCAGTGCTACATTTTGAGACCAAGAATGGACAGCTTAGAGTATAGAATTGACATTTTACCACTTCTGCATGTATGCAAAGAAGGTCAATACGTTTCCAGAATGCTGTTCGACATCCATGGATTGAATCTCTTATATCTGCTTCTCAGCCCCACTGCGGCCATGATGTTGTTCCGTCGTCTATATCAAACAACTCGGATCCTATGAGATCAGGGTAAAAGAACCCCACGTGAGATGACATGGATGAGTCATCCAAAGCTGATAGCGTATTATAATGCGCCAAAGAGCTTGCTGTAGCATTAGCGGGTGCATATTGAGCTCCCGGGCGCAATTTATGGAATTGCGATGAAACAATATCGCTTAGCAAATGAGCGGCATGACATGGTAAACCGATGGAACGGAGCCAAGTAATCAACTTGGTCACAAGACGATCGAGATCATCAACATCAACATTGGCGACACGTAGCTGATCCTCATACATATGAACGAGTCGACAAAGAGTGAGAGCAGAGAATGTTATAAGATGGTATATATGATCTGTTAGGTGTCGGGTACGATCATCTGTTGTATCAATTGCCAGGTTAATGATGGTACTAGAGAGATCAATCATATCCAGAATTATAGATCCGTCCATTAAGGATTGCGGTGATCGGGCTGATTGGTAGTATGCGAGAAGGTGGGCGAAGTGGAAACCCATCTGAAGAAATTGAGAACGAGGCTCGTCTAATTTCACATTATTAGTATTAACTTCTTGGATTCAGGATTGGCCCCTGGGTTGTGATTCAATTACCGAATAAGTTTGCCCATTCCTCTTTCCAATTTTGCAAAGCAAGCTTGGCGTCTTGTAAATTGACTTGATAGCCTTGTGGGCAACACTTTCTGTATATCACCCAGTACAACTTTACTTCGGCCACCATTCTCGCTTCGTAATTTTTGAGGTTTGAATTTTCTAGAAGATGATGACACCGATCAATATGTTCCTGGGTCAACATCGTTTGTCTGCGAGTGCCGACGCAATATCTGTCAATAGTAGTCAGTACCTAGGTATGTTTGTTTCTTCGGGAACCTTGGAATGAGATTCTCAGGTAGGTGTGGCCTTACTGTAAATGAGCAACACAGAGATGATTCCAGAGGCACCAAGCATCAATGTGACTTTCTTCAATTTCCTGTCCCGGACCAACTTTGGATAGTAGGTCAGGGAAACATGAACTGGCGAATCCCTGCTGAAGCGCATACCCAGTCAACAGCCAACTGTCGATGCTCAGGGGCTGTTGACCAATTGTCGTAGACCATAGGCTCAATATCAAGATAGCTTGAAAATGCTCTATTGACTGTGGAACCACTAGCAAAGCCCTTGAAACCAAACTCTTTGCTTCACGAAACAAGCGTGGGGCTAACTCATCTGCGAGTTCTTGCGTTGTATGTCGCACTGCGATTAATAAGACACTGCAAAGTAGCAGCGGTGACTTTCTGACTTCAGACAGAAGCTTCTCAGTTGAGACATACTCAGAAAATCTGACCCAACGGCCATAGTGAAGGCGAAACCTACTTGCATCAGCAAATGAGAGACAACTAGAGGATCAAGACCAACAGTTTGAGCAATGAGTGGGCACTGGGAGATGTGACCAATCCAACTGATATCACATCAGATAAACTGCTGGAAAGCAAATCAAATTGCTGTGGAGAAGAAACCCCAGCATCAGTAGCAGCCTCGCGGATTAAAATGACGGGCGCTGGATTTGGCTCAGCTGGTGCCCTCTGTTGTTCGGTTCTAGCCTGAGCTATGTCCGTCGAGGAATTCCGTCGATCTTTAGACTGTGTATCCAAACGATCCACTAAAGCTCCAACTGCTCGCTCAAGTCTTTCCAGTCTAATCTTTCAGAGTTGGTCGATTCATTTTCAGTTGAATGATATGGAATTCCGAGGCATACCTCAAATCTGTAGACAAATGTTGGCTGGCACCAGAATGTCTAGGGCTGTCATCATATCTCCGCTGTTGCCCGGATGGTGATCTAGACGATTCTTGGTCTAACAAATGTTCTAGAGAACACGAAAGAGATAGGGTATGACAGCGGAGACAGGTATTGCCTACCCCATCTTTGGCATAACAGCGCGTTTTGTTCTTTCGACATAGGTCACAGGCTTTTGAAGCCCTTCCCAGGCGCAGTGGCGGCATGATATCAAATAATGTACTCCCTCAGGCTCAAGTTACCCTATATACAGGCATTTCAGCGAACATCTGCAAAGTGGGTGGAAATGGTCAGCTTATTGGCGACGGATCCCCACAGGAGATGGCGCAATATCTGATCACGTGTTGGGTTATAAACAGAGAATCTACTCCGTCTACCGACAATTGTAGATAGACAAGAGAAATAAAAAAAAATTGGTGTTTAAAGATCAAATTATACATGGCGTTTAAATTTTTACCAGCTACTTAGATACGTTTAATTTCCTTCTTTCTCGTGGACACGGCCCAACTACTAGCGGCAATCTAGTATCGGGACTACACATGGACATATATACGTCCACTTCGGGGTATTAGTATAGTATTTCCTGCAGTTATGGTACTCCAGGGGCACTAATACCATTAACTTATTCTCAGTAAGACTGTATTTGAATTAGATAATCATGAAATTTATACATCCACATCTGTCCCCAAAAACTCAGAATGCCTGTTCTTTGCCTCCACCCCAGAATCCCCGCCGTCAAATAGTCGGTACAACAACTTCCAGGAGAGAATAACCACAGTAGCTGCAATTGCACAAGAAGCAGCTACTATCAATCCATACTTATAACGAGGCGCATCTGCAGACATTGTTAGATGTTTCCCGATCATATCCATCATCATCGAATCGATCATACCTTGTGTGCGAAATAATTGATTTCCGGGGAAATTTGCAAGCTGGATACACATGACATACGCAGCCAAAGCAACTGGGCGCTTATAATCTTCCATTTTTGTAGTAAGCCAGGCTGCACTGATAGCTTGTGCACTGCCCATTCCCATTTGAGTCCAAACAACGCCTCCTGCAAGTACTGATTAGCATCTCATCTTTCCCTTCTTTCTTGACGAACATACCATAGAGCACCCATTTCCCAACATTCTCTGGCGCTAATGCAAGCCATAAAAGTCCTACTGCTCCCCATAAATATCCTGCAGCAATATGAAATCCACGCTTTTGGAATCTGTCACTGCTGAAAGCGAGTGATACAGACCAAATCAAAGCACATATGCTGCCTACCGAGTTAAGCCCATTCGCTTGTAGGGAAGTAAATCCCAGAGATTTGATAATAGAGGGTGCGTAGGTATTCATCGGTGAGATCATAACCATAGAGAGCAAAGCGGCCACAAGATGGCCATATAGCCTCCAATCGCCAAAAGTGTCTAAGATGTGCGATGGTAGGACTGGTTTTCCATACCGCAATGCCTTCGTCGGGTCGTTGCATATCACCCGTGTGACAAGGATGGATGCCTCGCGCTGAGTAAAAATTGAGAATGATCTACCAAACATAGACTTGGGTCTTGCTGCATTATGGGGGAAGTATAAATAGGTGACAACTCCCAGGAAGCAAGTTAGGACTCCCTCTAAGATTCGTCAGACGTTGTCATCGAGCAGAATGTACCTACCTATGTAGGTACTAGTAGGTTGTAGCTCACATACCTATGAGAAAAAGCCATTGCCATCCATGGAGTCCACCTCGTCCACCAAGAGAGAGTAGGCCAATTGATAACGGTCCACCCAATGCTCCGGCAAAACTATTCGCGGCCCAAAAAATAGCATATCGAAATGCAAGTTCTTGGTTCGTGTAGTATTTCGAAATATACAAAGCGAATCCAGGGATATACCCGCCCTCGAGGGCTCCAATGAAGAATCGAGTGGCATAAAGGCCTGATGCATTCTTCATGAAGACTTGCGACCATGTCACAATACCCCAAAGGAACATTGTAATGGGAAGAAAGCGCTCAGGTCCAATATACTTGCTGATCATGTTGAAAGGTAACTCTGTGATGATGAATCCGACTGTAAATAGCGTCTGGGCCAGATTGACTTGCGTGTTTCCGACGTTGATGTCTTTTCGTAGGGTATCGGTGAGGGCGTTTCCAATGTTTGTACGATCAAATTGCAAAAAGCAAAAGCAAAGCACGATTGGAGGAAGAATGAAAAAGTCCACCTTTAGCAAGGCCTTTCGAACTTCTTTTGGGTCAAATTGAAGACTAGCATCATAACCTGGAACTTCAACAGTCTCGTCCACGATACTAGTGGTCGCGTCCTTGTGTTCGTCGGCACCGAATCGGCTGAAAGAGCCTTTCTCGGATATAGCACTCATGGCGATGTGAAGCATAAATTTGAGGCTGCAATTGAGATTTAACAATCCATAAATGGCTTTTTAATAATGAGAAAGAGCTCGGTGTCCTTTCAACTCTAAGCGGTGTCCTCCGATGGGTGGCCATGATATTTTATACATTTTCACTGGCAGACAACTCGAGTTCGCGAATCACCACTGGCAGTTGACACAACTATCCAACCTTTAGAATGGTCGAAGATATCATGAAAGCCAAGATGGCGTGCTTATCAGCTTCACCTATCTCGAAGCTCGATGACAGCCCCAGAAGGTGGGCCGTCACTTGATAAAGGGGGCCTTCCACGGTCAAAGCCGACGGCATGCCGGCGGCTCCTACGGGATACCGCCGGTTGGCATTTTGGGCAGCATGATGGAATAAAAATTATAACAGGCGCTTATCTTCGCAATATTTTGAGTTATTGATCAATAAGTTCACCAAAATATCCTTCTCGTTCTATTTTTCTTTTACATATTCCAGCCAAAATCGTGACTTTGCCTGCGCCGATCATGGAGCAAAACACCCTCAAAAGACGGGGCGTCGGCTTGACTGGAGTAGACAAGCAACGATCCTTCGGAGGATTTACTCTCTTCTGCCCTCTCACCAGCGACACGGCTCATCTGGTAGATATCAATGGGAACGAGGTTCATTCATGGAAGCTCCCTGGTCGAATCGGTCGTCACGCAAGACTTCTACCAAACGGAAATCTCGCGGTCAACACACTTCGACCAGCTCCGAAAGAAACAACCGCCGACGGGGGACCATTCCCATTCCTATTCTTCAACAAATATGGCGGCGGAGTGATGTCCGAGCTTGACCCAGAAGGGAATATCGTTCGCCAATTCACCGATCCCCTGGGCCATCATGACCAGTATCACTACGGCGATGGTCGGATCCTTTATACCTCCCTCGAAGCCCTGTCACCAGAAGACTCGGCCAAAGTCATCGGCGGTGTCCCAGGCAGCGAGGTTGACGGAATCACCTACGCAGATACAATCAAGGAAGTTGACGAAGCCGGAAATCTACTTTGGCAATGGAAGGTGTCTGAACGTCTACCCAGAGCGGAATATCCTCTTCAGCCTCACTACACGCGTGAGCACTATCCTCTGATTAACTCAGTCCTGCCACTACGAGACGGAAAGCACATTCTGGCATCTATGCGGTCCGTTTCAGCCGTCATAATTATTGAAAGGTCCACCGGAAACATCGTGTGGAAAATTGGATCGGAAATCCTCGCGCAGCAGCACAACGCTACAGAGTTGGAGAACGGAAACATTCTCATCTTTGACAATGGCGCATTACGCAATGGTGAATCTATCACCTACACGCGGGCAATTGAGGTTGATCGAACGACCAAAAAGATCGTCTGGGACTATCGCGATCGCTCACAGATGCTATACTTCTTTACACCATTTATGGGGAGTGCACAAAGACTCGCCAATGGCAATACTCTTTTGTGCGAAAGTGCTTTTGGTCGTCTGTTTGAAGTCACTAAGGACGGCTATATCTGCTGGGAGTATATTAACCCTCACTTCGCCCCATACCCTGATAGTGTGACCGCGAATATCTTCCCGGGGGAATCAAATGCTCTGTTCCGGGCATACCGATACTCTTTGGAAGAAATCCCTTGGTTGAAGCGGAAGTTGAGTCGAACTAACGGGTCGAAGCTGATCTGATACCTTGTCAAGCCGAGAATCCATAAGAAGACACGAAAAGAAGCGTCCCTTAGGTACAGAGTGACTGTTACCATTCCAATGTAAATATTAAGATTCATTTCTCGTACTTCAAATTTGGCTATTTCAAACTTCATGCCCACAGATAGATACAAAATTTCCATGAATATACACAATCTTTACATCACCACCGCAACGTGGTCGGTCATATACTTGGAGATGTCGCCCAGGAAGCAAGACGCCAAGATGGAGATGATTCCAAACGCGATGCTGACATAGTAAACCCATTTATATGCCTCTGCGTAAGCAATTTGGCCAGCAGCAACGACCGCCTCGTATGCCATCTCATTTCCAGCAATACCAGGGACCTGCTTGATTTCTTCTAGCAGCGATGCGCCAGTGAGCTCGATCACCTCCGTGATGACTGCGACATCTGTGATATTGAGCTGTGTTGCCATCACGCCGCCAATATAGTGTGTTGTCAGTGGGACGAATTTGGAGATGAAGACATTGTAGTAGATTGTGTAGCCGACTCCACCACCCACGACACGGATGGACAATGTAAGGGCGGAAATCGTGGCGATAAGATCCTAGCATATATTAGTATAGTTTCTTATTAGCTCAGGATGGGGATGACTTACATCAGGACAGATGATCGTAGTGATGATGGATGCTGGAACCACGATACCACCGATTCCAAGACCGGCTAGTACGAGAAGTCCCCAAAGTTGATAGAGATTATCAACACGTCCGACAGCGAGAGCTCCGCAACCTATTTTTATAACCCACTTAGTGTTTTGTCTTTGAAAGGGACTGGGAAATTGCTATCACTCACCTGCCGTCATGAGAACACTGCTAACAATCAATAGCTCCTTATTGTGTCCACGGAAAACACTGAGAAGTACGAGCACGATGCAGGCCCCTGCCAAGATACCGAAACCAACAGGCAAACTTCGAATGCCGACATCAACGGGGTCGTGGCCATAAACATTGAAAGATTCGGTCGGCCAGAACATCAGCACGGAGAAGAAGTTTGCGCCCGAGATAAATGTGATAACAAGTGTAAGACCTAGAGTGCGCGGCTCTTGTTTCAGTCGTGTAGGGAAGATGGGGTATTTGGCTCCATATATCTCCCAGAATGCAAATGCGATCAGGAGAACGGCACCAATTATCAATGGGGCAAGGACATGAGCAGAAGACCAGGGGTACTTGAAAAAATGTTAGCAATTATACTGGTTGACAATGTGGCATGAAGACTTACCATATATCCGCCCCACTGCAGACCAGCCAAAAACACAATCAACCCAGTGATACTCAGGAATCCACCAACAAAATCGATGCGACTGATAATCTCCTTCCGGCTCAGTCCAAGAGAATTGGTTCGAGGAGGAGGGAAATAGAAGAAGATCGTGACGAGCAGACCAAACCCATTCCACGCACCACAGAACGCGCCAACGTACCGCCAGTCACTATAGTATGCAATAAGCTGGGCATAAAGCACAGATGGGCAGAATGGCACGATGGAGAAGATGAGGGCCGCGACATAGACACCACGTTTGCGAGTTGGTGCCATTTCGGAGGTGGCCGCCAGTGCAGTCAATTCGTTGATACCGGCGCCAGCACCAGCGATCGCCATACCCGCTGTTTTTTCAATTAGCCTTGTACTGTGTATTCAAAGATTAAATTTATTTCGAAATATGCTTACCGATAAAGATGTTCATGGTGTTAGCCGTGCTGGATACGATCATGCCCAAACAGATGAGCGAAGCGCCCGCGATCGCAACATAGCGGCGACCGAACAAATCAGACAATGATCCGACAAAGGGGCAAATAGCGGCGAGACCAAGTAGGTTGGCAAGGACCTAGCAATTGATGGGTCAGTATCTGAAGCAGAGAGGGATGGAGGTTTTAGGGGCATCTTACAAACCAAACCCATCGGTCTGCTCCGCCAATGGATCCATAGATATAGGGAGGGATGCCACCTATCAACTCGTCAAGACCTTCTGTGTCTATACTAGTATTAGAAGCGTCTTGAACATACCAAATAGATAAACAGGAATCTGACTGCCAGTCCACAGGAAAGCCATGGCTGTGAATCCCATGAAGCGGCGAAAGGTCATCTAGAATTCCCATATTAGTATGTCGCTAAACTCCGATAATCCAGGAAAATCTCAAGAAGTTGCTCACCGGGACATCCTTCTCTGACTCATGAAGCTCTGCCTCATTGCTATGATCACTACCAACCACCTCCTGGTGACTATGGCTACTCTCATGATGCTGAATAGCCTTCTCATCCAGTGCAACCGGACGTGGGTCCTCCATTGTGCTAGTCATTGCGGGGCACTTTCAGGAGGACTAGAAGGAGGAAACTGGAATTAAAAAGGAGTTTCAGCGCAGTGCGCGACTAGGAGAAAAGAAAAGTAGAGAAAAAGACCAAGGACAGGCCACTAATAAAATCCACTGACGCGTAGTCAATCTCTACAGTTTAGGTGAGGGTGGGACCCTGGATAGATATACCCTTTGACCAGGATGCTACATAGCTGGCCAGTAGCTCTGCGGTCATGACGCACTGCAGTGACTGGCTAGAAGGGAGGCCATTATTTGCCATAACGGGTCCGTCCGTAGAGACTCGCCAATAGGAGGACCGAGCGGGCTTCATTCCAAACGAACGCGCAAGGTGTGGTGCAGATAAGCGATAGCCGGGAAGGACGAGTTCAAAATCGAGAAAATACCGAGGCAGGTCAGGCTCTTGGCCGAAATGCTTAGGGAGACTTAGGAGACTTGGACGGGTTGGGACAACTCATCCGGTGGGCTCGGGAGTGAAATGCGGGGTGAAACGCGGAGAAAAGTGGAGGCCGAGTGGAGGCCGTCATTGATGGCTTCGATTCTCCCCGGGGCAGTACCACAAGGGGGATCAGCCCCGAAACCGTATCCGTGACGGGATATTGGCCCAGAGAAAGATTGCAAGGGAGTGTCATTGTCTGATTCGCTGGGGATGAGCCTGTACGATGTCATGATACTGAAGATTACTCCGTACCCTAAATATTAGCACCATATCTGCATCTACAACAATGGGTAAAATTGAACAAACTGTACAGATAGTGGCAGATTATAAGGTATCAGTCACTGTCCACCTATATTTGGATCTCGTACTATACAAGTGGGAGGAGCTAGCAGGCATATAGTCCCTTCTCAAAGTGATTCGTCACTTGATCCTAACCCCAGAGAAAGTACACCCAGTGGATCACCGCGAAGTGGCTAATGTATCCGTCACGACAACACTTCGCTTAGACACCCCCACAATAATTATCGTGATTCCCCGGATATATCCTGCTCATGGGACCATCTACCACTTAAAAGGTCTCTCCAATAGTTCGCAACTGGAGCTTCTTAGGAACAACGAAAAGACCAGAGGCCTCCACACAGACGCGCCCTGTCATATCACGAAGCTCACACTTGGCATAAGCCTTGCGGTCCGTGCTTCGCTCTTGGTCAAGGGTCGTATGCAGGGAGTAGAAGTTATCCGAGTAGACGGGCGCGCGGTAGTTAATGTTGAGATTTGCAGTAACACCAGTACGGGCCGGAAAACGTCGTATCGCAGCACGTCCGAGATTCTCATCGATCACAGTGCCAAGTGCACCACCATGCACCATGGTTGGCCATCCTTCAATGCCGGAGCCAAAGGCCACGACGCTAACAATCTTCTGATCCTTGTCGTTCCAAAATACTTTCTGTCGGTTCACGAAACAGGTTAGTTCATGTAGACGGGATCCCGAGGTTCGGCATTTCAAAGCTTCGGCAGTTGCAAGTTATACAGGGGGAAGGGGGGCTGATTGCGAGTGAGCAACCAGCCATGACAAGGAAGGACACCCGCATTGATGCTGCCACGAAACTTGGCAAAGCAAACGTACCTGTAGTCCCAATCCCCTACTCCCAGCCAAGGGTCCAGAGGTCAGACGATGGGCTTTTTGCTCGTCCGAAAAGTATTCGTACACGCCCGATTCGATATAATCCGGGTTATCTCGTAATTGCTTCACGATCGGGAGTCCAATTTCATAGGCCCGCTCGAGTTTCTCGAGCTGCTTCAAGTCCTCGGGGGACCCTGGGGCTGGCGGTGGCGCGATCCTTTGCCCTATTAATTTCCCAACGCCAATGCCCAGACCTCCAAATATGCCGGCGTAGATAAGTCGACGTGTCCATGGTGATGATGGGGCCGAGGTATTCTGTTGTGCGCCAGTACTCAAGGTTCGCAGGGAGGATCGGGGGGAGACGAATGTGCGAGTCGAGAGGATACGCCGTGGCAACTGCAGTATCCGAGGAGAATTCATTGTGTTCACCTCACCTTTAAGAAGAGAAGTGAAGCTATCCTCGTTGAGCGGGATTGGAGACTGCGGGACCGAGGCTCGTAGTCACGTGGTATGATCTTCCCCGATTTGATAGCAGCTTCCCCGGAGCTTTTTTATTTTTACATTTGCATACTACCTATGTTGCAAAGGATTACCCTTCGATAAATGTGCTGTTCGCTACAAAGTCAGAGTCCCGTCAATCATAATTCCATTGCATCTAAAATAGAGCATTTATCGGAATGAACCACCATAGTGGGATTCACAAGCTTCCCCACCATCATCCCCATCAACATCAACTCATAATTGTCGTTTCTATTCATCTAGAGGCGTGTTTTCGTGTCGCAGTCTAGGGCGTGAATAGCTATCAAATTATTTGAGAAATTACTCCTGCTTGGGGAGCTCAATGGCGCGGTAGAGTAGGATCAAGGCCGAGTGGGATTCGCCTGTCAAACAACGCTGTTAGTAAGGATTTCAGACAAGAGCAGGCCAAAAGTACTTACCACCTCCAGAAAGGGTTTCAATCTTCTCAGCTTCGACTTCGGTGACCTTGTCGTCGTTGAACCACCACCATTTTCCATCATCCTCCTCATCCTCACGGCGCTTGCTACCGGCTTGGGAGTTATCGGAACGAGCCTGCTTCTTGACATAGGCTGTATA